AGCTGATATTGAGGAGAGAATTACTCATTCAGGGTCCTGGGGCTTGATGAGTGGGATCTTCTAGGTGTTTTTATATTTGTTTGTTTCTCAAAAACCATCCTCCTGCTCAACCCCCAGACTCTTCTCTTTTATTGTTTCTACTTCCTCATACTAACTTCCCAACGCTGAGGAAGGAACCACCCAAATGCACAACACAGAGAGCTCAGGGTCTGGGTGGAGGTGGGGAGGGGGGAGACTGAGGTTGTTGCTGAGACAGCTGAACTTGGATGACCCCAATACAAGGACTAACTAAAACACTTGGACTTCACAGAGTTTGGAAGTCTAGAATCTTGGGTGTTGGAGGTCATCTAATCCCATACACCCCACCAAAATTCTGAATCCCTCCTGAGGCATCCCTGTTATTGAGCTCCATTAGGAGACCCTTGATTTGGCAGTATTACAGTTAGAGAAATCCACTCGTGTCTAAGGTCTAATGATGCCCCTGTCAGTAAACAAAGGAAACAAAGGAAAGGAAAGAGGAGTAAGAACCCATGTGTGTCGGCCCCAAGCCCAGAAGCCAAACAAAGAGCCCAGAATGTCCTTAGGGACACTGACCCACAAATTATCTCAAGACAGCATTAAAATTTAGCCCTTGGGGCTTCCCTGGTGGCGCAGTGGTTGAGAATCTGCCTGCCAATGCAGGGGACACGGGTTCGAGCCCTGGTCTGGGAAGATCCCACATGCCACGGAGCAACTAGGCCTGTGCGCCACAACTACTGAGCCTGCGCGTCTGGAGCCTGTGCTCCGCAACAACAGAGGCCGCGACAGTGAGAGGCCCGCGCACCGCGATGAAGAGTGGCCCCCGCTCGCCGCAACTAGAGAAAGCCCTCGCACAGAAACGAAGACCCAACACAGCCAAAAATAAATTAATTAATTTAAAAAAATTAGCCCGAATGGAGGGTCTGGAGAGTTTTGTTAAAATCTTTGTCCTTTTCCTAAAGGCTCCAGGAGCAGACCCTGCATCCCAGGCTACATCAGCTACTCTAGGGCTCACCTGCCTGGCCCAGGAGGGGTCCAGCAGGACAGAGGCATTCTGGAACCAATGTCTTCAGAAGATGGATTACACTGGGATTTGGTACCCCTAAGTGGACTCCTGTAAGCAGAGAGAGCAGGAGAGACCTGCAGGAATGCCCTGGGCTGGGGTTGGGAGAATGGACCCTCAAAGCAGACCATAAACTGTTGGAGCACACAGTCAGGAGTGGAGGTGTGTCATTGTCCTGTGCCCTCAAAGCTTCTGACCTACTGCAATAAGGAAGCAGAACCACCATCTGTCACCTGTTCTGGAAGGAGGGAGCCAAATCACAAATACCATAGATCATTTGTGTAAACATATGCTTCTCTGGGTGTGTCTGTCGCCTCCCCTGTGAGTGGACTGGAGGTGTCAGAAATATCCTTGACATATCTGTTTACCTGTTTCCCAGTTCTCCTTCTTTACCCTTAAATGTCATGACCCCCAGGGCTTGGTCTGGTCCCTCTTCTCTACTCCCTCAAGACCTCCCTGGTTAACTGCATCCATATAGCCTTCAGAATGGCTATGGCTTCCAAATCTATACCCTCTCTTCACCTTGGTCCTGAGCTCCAGATGTGTATGCAGCTCCTCCCAAACGCCTCCACTTGGCACACACATTCAGCTCACTTCTAGCAACTCACCAACTCACTCCCCCTGCATTGCTATCAGAACATCTAAACTTGTCACACCCTCCTTAGTATTTATTCACCATTGTCTGATTTTCCTCCCCAGATCTCCAAGTGGGGCAGGGGTGGGATGGGGTGGGGTGGCCCTGAGGGCTGGTTAGAAGTGTTCTGGGGATCTGGAACAGACATGTAGAAATTAGCTGAGATTCAGCAGCAGGTCAGGAATCAGGTAAACAACGGATTACGATGCCAAGTGGGGCAAACCAAGTGAGCAGAATATATCCCAGGGCAAAATCACAGCGGTCAGAGGGAGCAGGCTACTGGTGAGAAAAAGCCCCACAAGAGGAAGCAAGGCAAACCCAGAATGATGGTTGGTCACCATTTCTGTGTATCCTCCATGTGTCTGGTGTGTAAGAACTGAAAACAATCAGAGAAACTGATTTCTTTTTTTTTTTTTTAAGGAACAGAAGGCAACTGGCTTCCAGTCATCTACTATGTTAAGTCCAAACTCCCTAGCAGAACATTCAGATCCTTTCTGACCTGGCACATTCTTACGTCTCCAGGTTCACCTTTTTCACCCCCCAGCTCACTCCAGTACTACAGGCATTTCCCTGTATTCAGTGTGTCTCTTGTGCTTCTATGTACGTACGCAATTCCCTCCGTCCTATGCTGACTGAAAAAAAATGCACAACGTGAGAGTTGTGAGTTGAGTTATATGTGGGGAAAATGAGGAATATAGCCTGGGAGACAGCGTCTCAGATAGCTCTGAGGAACTGCTCCGAAGATATTGGGGGGGGGGTCAGTATTATATATGATTTTAGTGAAGGGACATACGTGTAATCAAGCACACATTTGGGCAGAGGGTTTCTGCGAGTCACGAGAAAGTTGTTGCTAGTCACAAGGAGCAGATGTCTCTGTTAATGATTTTAGTGCTTTTCTAGATATGAGGGATGCAAGAAATTGGGCTCATAAAATCTTCTGAAAATATCTAACTATCTGAAGCCCTGTTCTGCCAGTTTTTCCCAGAGCACAGAGGACCTCATTCCTGATCTCCACCCTGAACTCCTTTCACGGTGTGTGGAAGGTCAGTGACTGCAGTGGCTAGTGACTTTGTAGAGGCAGAAGGCAAGTGACAATTTTTAGTTGGCGCCTAGAACATCATTTTCATTAGTGTCTACTCAGTGAAGACGAACTCATCTCTGTAGATTTAGCCCCAGCTTTCTCAGCTCCTCCAGGCATGCTGAATGATTCTGACATCTTTTTGATGTCACAGGAGACATATCTTCATGCCTCAATTATTTCAGTTGCCACACTCCATAATTACTGTTTACTTGCCTGCCTGAACTGAACCCTGTGAGGACAGAACCTACGTATATTTTTTTCTTTTGGCTGCACCATGTGGCCTGTGGGATCTCAGTTCCCTGAACTAAGCCTGAACTTGGCCACTGTCTGAGAAGTATCTCTTAGGTGACATTAAAGGGTTTGGCTAGAAAACTGACACATTTGCACATATCTTCTTGCCCAATTCCTCCATTTTACTGATGAAAAAACTGAGGCTCCGAAAATGGAGTGATGTGCGCAGTTATATATAGCTAGTAAGTCACAGAGGAGGAAGGACTAGTACTAAGTACAGTATTTTAACTTTTAATCCAGTGTTCTTTCCAGGCAGCACACTTTGTAGGAGTGTATGTGTGTGTGTGTGTGTGTGTGAGACAAAGCACTTGGGGCAGCAATTCTAGTCTCCCATTCTGGTAAGGTGAATCTCCCCACAGTAGAACACGCATAGTTCAACCTTGGCCACTGGGACTCTGTGTAGGAAGAGCCTGGAGGGGATGAGGGAAGGCTGGGGGTGAGCCTCAGTCCCAAGCCTTGGCTCTCACCGTTATTGCTCCTGGCTCTGAATCTCTGTTTTTCAATTCTGTCACTAGAAGAGGGCTGCTCCCTCCTCTGAGAGGGTGTCAGGTGGACAACACAGGCTTTAGGGAAAGTAGGCAGAGTCCAAAAGAAAAAAGAAGAGGCCCATTGTGGGAGGGGCTCACAGGGGATCTCAGTCTGTGGGCTTCTCCCCAGCCAGCACAAGGAGGGGTCCAGCACTAGGGTCTCAGTGTCATCATGATGCTAAAATTCCTTTATGGCTGCTAATTAGAACTAAGTAGGGCTGGTTACTCCACCCCAATTCCCAAAGCCTGACACACAGCTACTTCCCTCCTATGGCAGATCAAAGATCACCGGGCCATCCTTTAAGATGTATCTGAAATCTCCATCTCCAGGAAGACCCCTCTAGACTTAAATTTCCTGAAAGCAGCAGCCCTTGCCCTTCCCAATCCTACACATGTTGGGCTTGGGAGAAACCTTGGAGAACATCCACTCATCTTATATATGAAGAAATCAAGGCCAGAGAGGGGAAGCATGGAAGTGGCAAACCTGGGACAAAGTCCCAGTCTATTTGACTGCCTACCATTTCTCTCATGTAATTCCCATGATTCTGAACATGCTTGGTTCCAAATGTGCCTGTGTACTTTTAGTCTGTGTGACATCAACATTAATCTGCTTAAGTTGCATTTTTGGTGGAGTTAGTTCACACTCCTTTGGGTCCTTAAGTATGCTCAGGTCTGCCTGCCTATCATTCCTGGTGTGTTCTTGTGTGTGTTACAGCTGTCTCTGAGTTGTGAGAAGTGTGTGCCTAAGGGCAATTGAGTAACTGGGTTTATCATGGGTCTATAGGATGCTGCATGCCTACATATGTGTCTCTTTTTACCTTGAAGGATGTGTGTCCATCTGTGGTTGTTCGTTTTGTGTCCATGTACTTGTTTGATGCCTAAGAGTAATTGTGATCCTGTGTGTGTTTGTGCATATGTATGGGTCTATGGGCTGCTACATGTCTCTTTTCATGGTGAAAGTTGTACGTCTGCTGACCATCGTGGGTCCATTTGGATGTGGGTTTGTACACAGTGAAGGCTGTGGGTCTAATTGTAACTGTCCATGCGGACTGCATGTTTAAAGGCTGAAGGGAATCTGTCTTTGCCTTTTATCCCCGGGTTATGAGAAAAATGTGTGTAGCCGTGTGACCAGAGCAAGAATGTGTTTGTCTCTCGGCCAATCTCCGTCCTCACCCGGGGCCTGCGGTCACGGTTACTTTCCAGGATGCCTTGGCACTGATTCCCAGACGGGCGGGACATGCAGGGCCCCGCCTCCAGCCACCAGGGATAGGCAAGCCTCTCTACCCTTGGCAGTAGCGGCCGGGTGTGTGGGTGTGAGGGTGTGGGGGTGTGGGAGTGTGGGTGGGTGGTGGGCGGGGTCTAGCCCGCAGCCCCAGCCACCCTCACTCCTCCCGCCCCCCACCCCCGCAGCCGACTCCAGCCTGCTCATTGGCCGTGTCTGCAGTGACGTCGTGGGGATCGCAGACAAGAACCCTCAGCGCCCGGCGCGCGGGAGGTGTTGTCCATCACTGGGGCTTTGTTACGTCGTCGCCTCCTCACCTGGCTGCGGGCGCGTCCTGGCAGCTGCAGCCTGGAGCCGGGTGCCAGCTGCTGCGGCCGCCGCCTCCGCCATGGTGTCCCCGGTCACTGTGGTGAGTGTGTGAACGAGCGAGCCAGTGTCCGGCGCGGCCACAGCCCACCGGCCTGGGGACTGGGCTGCGGGAGGCCAAGCAGCCGGGGGCTGAGGAAGGGCAGGGATCCCGCGGCGGCCCGCGTCCCCAGGCGGGAGTCGGCGCTGTCACGGTCCGCCGCATCCCAAACCTCTGCACCCTTCCTCCGCGCGCCCCCAGCCGGTCGGAGGGAGGGAGGAAAACAGTGGGCACGTGACTCGGAAGCGTGACTTTGTTGATCGCTGTGTGTCTGGCGCGGGTCGGCTGGATCGCTGCCTGGGAGAGGAAGGGGACGGTAGCGGACCGCAGGCTTCTGCGTGGGCAGACCAGAGCGAGGCGTGGGAGAGGGCGGGGGAGAGCAGGAGGGTGACTGGGACCTCCTGGGAATCCTGTTCCAAATTTGTTTCCTCCCTTTCCTCATCTTATAGAGAAGTCTGGGGCGGTGCAGGGCACGCCTGTGAGTCTAAACAGCCTTGATAACGCGCTGGAGGAGAAGAGGTCGTTCTCTATTGACAGCCCTGTTCAGACTTTCTCACCTGAACCTTTGTCTCTCCCCCGCCCCCCTCCTCCTTCTAGTGCTGGGTTCTCTGTGACTATCAACACCTCCCCAGCTGCTACTGCTGTTTCTCCTTCTAGGAAACATGGGGCTGGGGGAGGGGTGTGGAGTAGATGCTTCCAAGGGCTGGCAGGTGGAGGCTGGGGAGATCTGGGGACTGTGAGGATAAGCCGTCTCCTCCTCTGCCCGTGTCCCTGCCCTGACCAGCCTGCCTGGGGGAATCTCCATAGGAAGGAACTTAGTCATCTCTTCTCACTGTTCTCACCCCTGGCAGAGCCAGGGCAGGCTTAGACCCTGGACCCACCATCTGCCTCTTCCCAGCCTCCTTCATCACAGCCTGTTCAGTCCCAGGTAACCAGGGACTGAAGGTCTGAGAGTCTGAGTGTGTACCCAGAGCCCTGGGCTAGGCGGTTCACCCAGCCAGAGGCCTGTCACTTGGGGCAGAGCATGAGTATACCGGAAACCTCAGCTGCTCTGAATCACTCTCAGAGCCCCAGTACCAGAGGCCCAAGAAAAGGAGCTTCAGGGGATCACAGATTCAGAATATCTGCAGCAGCCCCCTGGTGCCTGCATGGCCTTGGACACAACCTTTCTTTAGCTGCCCTCCCCCCTAATCCGGCTGAGTCCAAGTCAGCTGCTCTAACTTCCCCCTCTCAGTTCCTCATCTCCTCCCAGCCTGACTGCTGGCTTCTGATCAAAAGCTGGGAAGAGAACCTCTCCCTCCCCTTCCTGCCTCTCTTTCTGATGGGCCTCGAGTTGCTGTTATTCTCTGGGAAATGAGGCTGACTGACACCCTCTCCAACCCCCCAATTCCTGAGATTGCTGGTATTTCAGGGACAGTTTTCTTGCTCCTAACTCATGGGTCCATATATCTAGGCAGCATCCCTGTCTCCTCTCCTTGCCCTTGATGGTACCTTGAGGCTGGGGCAGCTGGAGTGGAGGCTGAGTTTGCAGACTGGCCAGGGAGAGAGCCTGTGGGGGCTGAGATGGTTGACGGTGCCCACACATTCCTGGCGCTCACCTGGTGTCGCTGGGCCTGTGTCCTGGCCCTACTGCTGAGGATCACGAGTTGGCCAGTTGTGGCGTCTCTGTGATTTCCTGCTGTCTCCACTCTATTCCAGACAGCTGGGGGCTGATACTGGCAGAGAGAGGCCAAAGGGGCTTTGGGGAAGGAGAGGGAGGGGGCAGGAAGGGAGAAGCATTGGGCTGCAGGATGGGACACTATTGCAAAGTCTGTTTTCTGTGCAGTGAGTGACTATTCTGGTCCTGCCCCGGGGCCAAGAATGGATGCAACTAGCAGGGACAGGGGAGCCCTTTCTCTTCCTAATCAATTAAGCCTCAGGGTAATGATGGGCTTGTTCACACTCTGCTGGCTGCTTGGGGCAGGCCAAACTGGGTTTCTGTGTGTCAATCCTCTCTGCTTGGGCGGTGGGCCTGTCTTTGGGGTGGATGCCTGGGCTGAGGGTGCTGGCTCTGAGCCCCGCTTTGGGCTTCTGAGCTCCCACGCTCTGAGTGCTGCCCTTGTCCTATGTCCTCCAGGTGAAGAGTGAGGGACCCAAGCTAGTGCCCTTCTTCAAAGCCACTTGTGTGTATTTTGTGCTCTGGCTGCCCTCGTCCAGCCCGTCGTGGGTCAGCGCCCTCGTCAAGTGCCTGCCCATCTTCTGCCTCTGGCTCTTCCTTCTGGCCCACGGCCTGGGATTCCTGCTGGCCCACCCCAGTGCCACCCGCATCTTTGTGGGGCTCATCTTCTCTGCTCTAGGTGATGCCTTCCTCATCTGGCAGGACCAGGGCTACTTTGTGCACGGTCAGTCATCACAGTAGCTACCTGGGAGGAATCCTGGGGTTGGGGGCTAGAGGACCCTGGGGGGCCAAGGATTTGGGAAAGGGAGGTTTTTTTAAAAAACAAGAATATGGGGAATTTGAGGGGTTCTGTGGCCAAAGACTGTTGGGGCCCCTGTCAGAGGATGACCCTGCCGGTGATACGGTGATCAGTTCTGGAGTGCCACAGGAGAGTCGGGGAGGGTATCTTTGCCTTCATGGATTTCTTCCCACCCCTGTTACTCTCAGAAGAAAGCTCCTGGGTTATCCCAAGCACTCTACTCCTACCCCCGCCTCCCGTCACTGGTTATTCGCCTGAGCTTGCCTTCAACATCCCATCATCCCCTCTCACTTTTAGGTCTGCTGATGTTTGCTGTGACCCACATGTTCTATGCCTCGGCCTTTGGCATGCGGCCACTGGCTCTTCGGACAGGTCTGGTGATGGCAGTACTGTCGGGCCTGTGCTATGCCCTCCTCTACCCATGCCTCACGGGTGCCTTCACCTACCTGGTGGGGGTCTATATGGCCCTTATCAGCTTCATGGGCTGGCGGGCTGTGGCAGGGCTACAGCTGGTTGGGACTGCCTGGCGCTGGACTGAGCTGGCGGCGGGCAGTGGTGCACTGCTCTTTATTGTCTCAGACCTGACCATCGCCCTCAACAAGTTCTGCTTTCCTGTGCCCTACTCGCGGGCCCTCATCATGTCCACCTACTACGCCGCCCAGATGCTCATCGCCCTGTCAGCTGTCGAGAGCCGGGAGCCAGTGGAAGACTACAGACTGAGCAAGGCCAAATGAGGGGCCAGGTGCTCGTCACCCCTCTCTGCTCCTGGCGCTGGGGTCCAGAACCTGGGAACCTGCAAGAGCTGGATCAGGATGGCTGAAGTACCAGCCTGGGGCAGCAGGTACCACCTGTGAAATGCACAAGTTTGAGGGGATAAGCAGCAAAAAGGATCTTTCTAGCAAAGCTAGTGGTCCAGGACAATGCTGAGAACTAAAAACAGCCAGCTTGATGCTCCTTGCTGGAGCCAGAAGAAGATATCTCCCCACCTGTACCACCCCATCCAGACTGTCAGAGCCCCTCTGGAGGGCCATGGTGCTCATCCTCTCAACCTCCCCTACTTCTACTAGGTGGAAGAGTCTAACTCGCCCACTTCCAGTCTTTCTGATTTGCACAGAGTTGAGGGAGGAGGGGAGGAGTCTGTGCTGAGATGACCCACGTCCAGGGCTTGAAGCCCCTTTCACAGGCCGCTAGTTGGGAAGATTGGATGGGGTGGAGTCTCCCTTTCCCACATCTATCCTTGTTACTTGAACAATCTTAATCTCTAAGTGTTGGGTGGGAAGGTGAAGGGGTGTCTATCCAGGTAGGCAAGACTGGGGACTACTTTGGCCTGGGAGTTTGGGGTACCAAGGGTTCAAGTTGGTCCCATCTCTCAAAGGCCATCCCAGAACTCAGGCCCCACACCACCACCCTCAGACCCTATCCCCAGGGCTAGGGTGAACCACGCCAAAGGAAGGGGCCAGCCTGTGTGTGCATCTGTATGTGAGTGTTTTGTGTGTAGTCTGTCTCCCAGCCTATCTATATCTTACTCTGCCAGCTGTCTCTGACCTGCTGTGTGTCAAAGTCTTTTAGGGAGAGGGCCTCAGGGAGCTGCTGAGGGGTTGCTGAGCCTGGCTCAGAGAGCTGGGACGCCCCCCACATACACACCCACTCTCAGGTCTTTCCTCCTTGCCCCTTCTGCACTGGGAGTGAGAGGAGGGGGCTCCAGTGACACTCTAGGGTCATAAGACCCGAGGCACATTCAATGCAAGGGGAGCAAGGATGGGACAACTCCATCCTATTGCTTGTGTGAAAAAAAATAAAAAATACCCAAGGGCCATTGGCTGCTCTGCTTGTCTGCCTGTGTGGCACGTGCCTGTCTTGCAGAGGTGGGGGTGTGGGTCATGGCACCAGGGGCCCTGGATGTCCTCACAGCCTGGGTCACAGTCCTGGCCGGTGCATCTTGGCGCCAGGCTGGCTCCCTGGCTCTGTTGACACTGCTGGTTGGAGCTTGTCTTACTTGCTGGTCACGTGTGTGGGTGAGGATGTAGATCAAGAGGATGGGGGTTGGGTAGTATTTGCCACCGTCCAAACTTGACCTTGATGCACTCCCCTGTGCACAGGTGCCCAGCACCTTTGGTGACTCCTAGTTACCCAGTGTCCTCTACTGCTACCCAACTCCTCCCCTCCCCACCCCAGACCTGCCAGCTGCTCCAAGATTCCCTTCAAGCATCTCCTTTCTTCCTGGACTCTGGGCTCAGTTGAACAGCTGGGAGGAATGAGATTAGATTGTCTGGTTCATACTTTAGATTTGAAGCCCTGGCAGAATAATGTGTCACCCCACTCCAGGGGCATTTGCATCTTAATGGGCAGTGCCCTGACCCAGAAGTAAAAAGGGAAGCCTTGGGTGGTGGTGAATACGCCATCAGTAGAGGGGTTGTACAGTTGTGGGGATGTGATAAAGAGACTCAAGCCCCATATGGGTGTTGAATGAATCAGTGATTTTCAAACTGGGGTTTTTACAGAGATCCCTGCTAGTGGGAGCTAGCAAAAGAATAAAGTAGAGGAGGGAGGCTCAAAGACCCCCTATCCTTGTTTCAAGTCCAGTAGGTTCTTAAGAATTTTTTTTTTGCAAGGAAGGGTTTTCTGCTGCAAAACATAAGTTTGAAAGCCGGCAAGCAGGATGACCAATCCGTTCTAGCTTTCAGATGCTCTAATTCTCAAATAGTGGGAACCCCAGACACTGAAGAGGCAAGGTCCTGATCCCTTCCAACCCCTGAACTCTGAAGACATACCTACCTGGAGTGAAGAAATGGGAAGGGCAGGATGGGGAGAAAGATGCAGACTTTGCCCTCTATGCCCGGAGGGAGGGCAGGGTGCAGTGTGGCTGTGGAGGAGGGGAAGGCAAGGCGAGGCCCAGTCAGAAGGGGGCTGGTCGTTCCCCACGTGGGTGGGTTTGGACTGAGCAGGGGTCGTGGTTCTGTGTATCCCCATCCTACGCCCACGTCTATCTCCTTGGTCCCTGCTGCACACCATGGTTAGGAACAGGCACAGGCGCACTCACTCAGTTTATTGTCCCATGCCTTCACTGAATGTTTACGTTGACAAGCACCACAGAGGGAACCAGGTCTCTCTCGCTGGGACCACACAGAGGATGGGCCAAGAAGCCCCACGCACATCACAGCATCCTCCTGATTCCTGGTCTGGGCTGGAGCTCACATAAGGTACTTTGATTTCTTCTGCAGACTCTCAGTGACGGAGGCTAGAATTGCCTTGTCATCTTTGTCTGAAAGAGCAAAGCAAGTATTTGTTAGTATGAATGATGCTGGGGTAAGGGAAACTCCAAATTGCCGGACTTGCAGTCGCTATGCAGGAACCAGGGGCTGGACCCTGCCCGGAATCCTCAGTCCTTGCCAGCCCCAGTCTCCCAAGGTCAGCTGGGTGTGTGGGGCCAAGAGCTGCCAGTTATTTGGCATTTCGTATTTGCCACGCATTGTGCCAGGAACTTCTGTGCACTATCTCATTTAATCCTCATGACAGCCCTAAGCAGTACATGGGGAAACAAGCTCAGAGTGGCTTGCCAAGGTCACATGGCTGGTGAGTGTTGGAGCCAGGGCCCTGTGCCCATGTGCTTACAACCAGAATTAAGTTGTCAGGGATCTCTCTAGCTGTGGAATGAGAGCTGGATGACTCCCACAGGGCCTTCCCTGGCCTAGTTCTGTTACACAGTTCAGCAGCCACTGTGGAGGCGTCATCTCAATGCCAGACACTTAGCTGGGTACTTGAGAGACAGAGCAACAGGACCAGGTCCTTTCCCCAGAGAAAGGCATCTATAACAGGATGAAAAAAAGCATCTGTAACCATGGAAACCATGGACACCAATAGTGTGCCATGGAGACTTCGGAGAGTGGCAGAGGATGAGGCTGGACAGGTAGATGGTGGGGAGGGGCTTGTTGATTGTGATTTTTATCTAAAGGATCATGGGAAAGCTAGGAGGGAGTTTAAACAAAGAGGAGCAAAACAGGTCATCTTTGCATTTAGACAGTTCATGCAACTGGCTGTTTAGCTGTGAAGACAGTAGAGTGTGTAGGAAGAAACAGAATATTTCCCCTATATGTGCACCCATGAGCAGAAACATAGCACACGTATGTGCAGAGGGAGGGCCTCCCTCCACTAGGTTCCCTTCAGTGCCTCCCATCTATCCTTATCTCAGACCAGTAGTCTTCAATTTTGGTTGCGCATCAGGACCACTTGCAAAATTTGTAAACATAAAGATTCCTTCCAGAACCCTGCCAGGGAGATTGTGATTGGTAAGTCTGGTTTAGGCCTGATGACTGGCGTCTTTTTCAAATGCAAGTCTAGGCCCACCAAGGGTTGCAAACTACAGACTGCTGAGGGATTGCAAACTCCCAAGTCTGCAGCGGCCAGGCACATAACAAATGACATCGAGAAGATGGGACAGTGGTACGAACTATGGCCAGTTGGAGAATGTTTACACCACCCCATGTCAGATTAAATAAAAGCCTGCGCCAGCCATAGGAAAAGAGCTGATCAACGGCTCAGGAGGCCGCCATTTTGCGCCTCTGCCCCACGCGGGACACAGCCAGGCACCCTCACCGTCCCGGGCCGACCGGCGCTGCACCCTCACCGTAGACGGTGAGCGTGCAGCTGCTGCGGTCCTTGCCCAGCTCGTTCTCCACCACTACGCTGTACTCTCCGCTGTCCTTGAGTGTGCAGGTGGGGATGACGATGGTGCACACGCCACTGGTGGAGTTGTACCAGAACTTGGAGTTGGCCGTGATGTTGACGTCGCCCTTGTAGAGGGTCACGGTGGGCCGTGGGTTCCCAAGGAAGGCGCAGGTCATGGTGCAGTCCTGGCCGCGCAGCACGGTGTGCGGCTTGAGCGGGGTCAGGAAGCGCGGCGCGTAGCGCCAGTCTTTCTGCTGGTACGGCTTCAGCTTGGCGCTCTGGTCCTCGGCTGCGCCCGGATGGGACACGAAGGGCGGTGAGCGCACACCAAGGCCCCCATCCATCGCGCGCCGGCTTAGTGCTCCTAAGACGCCCCGGAGACCCATCTCACGGAACCCCGAGGACCTGGGTTAGATTCCCACGCGCTATCAACTCTGGGGCCCCGACTTTATACTCGTTCCTAAGGTTCACCTTCCGCCACCCCCCCACCCCCATGGGTTCCAAGACCTAAACCAGGTCCGCGGGGTTTTACGCTTTTCCAGACCCGGGCGTCCTAGACTTCTTTCCAGCCGCCAGCCTCCGGACCCGAGCTGTTATCTGGCCTTTAACTCCCCATCCAAGCTTTCCCCAACGCCCTCGCAGCCTCCACGGTCTCTGCTTTCTCCAGTTTAGGCCCTCATTTCAAGATTCCCGCAGCTATCCTTACCCTTAATGCCCTCCCTCCAGGGTTTCTGGATGTCATCCCTGCCCCCTGGACTCTCCCTGAGTCCTCAGTCAGGACCTCAGTCAGCCTCTCAGCTCCACAACCCCTCCTCACCCTCCGGCACCCCACTGTCATCCCCGCCCCCAAGGGGACCTCCCCACCCCACCTCCGCGTTAGTCCCACCCCTCAGTGTACCCCGAAGGAATCTCCTCCCCTAGGCTTCCAGACCTCTGCTTTTCTCCCCCGGGTCCCTGATGTTAATCAACCCTTTCACCTCAGTGCTCCTCAGATTTTACCTCAAATCTTGGGTACCCCTTGCAACCCTTATTTCATGCCCGCCATCAGGGATCCCAGACGTTACCTGAACCCCCAAGTCCCCAGACTCACTCTTGTCCTTGTTGACGAGCCAGGTATCCCTGGAGTCCAGCGGGTCGCTGTCACCGATTTCGTTCCGGGCCAGCACCCGGAAGTAGTACTTCCTGCCGGGGAGCAGCCCGGTCACCGTGTACTTGTTGCTGAAGACGTGCTCGGCCACAGTGAACCAGGTGGCGGTGCTGGCATCCCGCTTCATGATGACGTAGTGGGCCTCGCTGTCCTCCTGCACGTCGGGGCTGTGGTTCCAGGTCAGAGTCACCGTGTTGGGGACCTCCTCAAACAGCTGCAGGTTTGTGGGTGGCTGCGGAAAATCTGGAAGGGTCCGAAGGTCCATCAGCCACCCTGGGGGGCTGAAGTATCGTGCCCCCACCCCCGCTACCTGCCAAGCCCTAAGGAGGATGGGATGGGGCACCTTACCTTCTTCTAACTCTCAGGCAGCTGGGGGTCTTGGAGTCAGAAAGAACTATTTATGAAGTGTAGCTCTGCCATTTACTAGCCCTGTGAACTTTGGCAAGTTACTTATCTTTTCTGAGACCCATTTCCTCATTTGCAAAATGAGGCTAACAATAACTATCATGGAAATGTTGCGTAAAGTGCCTGGCATGTAGGATCTGTTCAATAAAAGTTCACCCATTCTTCTCTTGGGGGTTTAGGGCTTTATTATAAAGCTTCCAGCCGTCTCTAAGGGGCCACCCAATTTGGGGGGCTGTTATGATTTTAATGGAGAGAGGTACAAAATGCATCAATGCAGAAGAATGTGTCACATGCTCTTTGGCATAGTGATCAATGTAAATTTAATAATACACAATGTGTTAAACCTCAAAACCTACAAAGTTTCCTGCAACCTAAGATAATGAAAAGGCTCTTTCCAAAGTTTTTACTCACCACCTTTATTATTAAAATTCTAAATATCTGGGGGGACTGAAAAATAACAGAAGGCTCATTTCAGCTGTGGTTCAAGAATTCTAATGAAGCTGGATGGCAATGACACTGTGGGACTGTGAAGCTCCCCCCAAAAGGCTTTCTTGGTGACCACATCACAAACTTTAAAAGTATTTCCAATAACATATAGGCAAATTACCCCAAGTTTTAATGGATTCCTCTCCATCTGTCCCTCCTGCCTCTTACCCATTCTCTGCTCTCTCTATGCGCACAGACCCTACTCTGCATATGCCCCGAAGCTCTCCACATATGACTGAGACTGAAACAAGGGCTGGGTCCTAGTTCAATGCCTCTGGGGCTTCAAGACACTGAGAAAAAGTGAAAACAACCCTCCGCATTAAGGCAAAGGCTGATAAAGTCTTGCTTTGTGGTGCCAAAGAAGACTTGACTACCTTAAGGCATGACTTTACAGTGGTAGGGACTCAAGCAGCACTAGGGAGCGTGTGCAGCGATGCCTCCCCAGGCCTCTACCTGTTGTCATACCTGCCACACGCACGTGGATGTCATGGTACGCCTCTCCAAACTCATTCCGGAGCAAGATGCGGTACACCCCTGAGTCGGAGCGCTTGGTGCTGCTGATGAGGAACTGGGAGTGGTTTTTGCTCTTGGTGATGGCCTCCCTGCCCTTGGTGGGCACGCCGTCCTTCAGCCAGATCACGTTGGGTGGTGGTGAGCCCTGGGTGGTGACAGGAGATGGCACCAGGGGTCACCTGGGTGGTATTTGGGGGCAGGCCCTATCCCACTGTCCAGGAGTCTCCTGCCAGGCTCTGAGGCCAGGGGTCTGGCGAGGGGCAGAGGCAGAGGCAGAGACTATGTTAGCTGCAGCAGCCAATTTGGTTAAGTGGTGGGCGTCTGGGGGCCAGGGTAGGACTCACAGAGAAGGCGGCATGGATACAGAGGGCTGTCCCAGCGCGAACCACCATATGACTTTTCAGCCGGGCACTGAGGTCAAACTTGGGAGCAGCTGAGATGGAGGAGACAGAGATGGGAGCATGGAACACTCTTTCCAGAAGACTTAGCTTTAAGCCTCCCCTCCAAAGCTTTTCCCAACCTCTTCTCCTCATGCTCTCACTACAGGCCATACAGACATCTAGCAACCCTGTGATGCTGTGAAGCATTTATTTATTTTTTCTCATCTGTCTCCCTCTATTATTATATAAGACTCTTTAGGGCAGGTCCTGTGTTTTATTTTTTTCTAAATCCCTAACACCTCCCTTGGCACACAGTAGATACTCTTCGGCGCACAATGAGTGGGGTTTTTGGTTTTTGTTTTATTTGTTTGTTTGTTTGTCTTTGGCAGGGAAGGCCCTGGGGTTATCCCTAGCTCTGTCCAGGCACAAGCATGGACGACTCTTTCTTGATCACAGCATTGCCCAGTTTTCTCCTGTGGGATGAGGTCCCAGAGAGGAAGGTGTGGAGCTAGGATGTTGGGGCCTATACTCCAGCCCTGTCTGCATCCCTCACCTGGTGGTGGCATGGCACGGACCCCCTCGTCCAGCTCCACAGGCTCCCCACACCCAGCCTCGTTCACAGCCCGGATTCGGAAGAAGTATTTCTGCCTCTCGGTGAGGCCTCCTACTGTGTAGCAGGTGCCCGAGATGGGGATCTTTGTGCACTTGGACCACTCCTTGGTGTCTTCAGCCCGCATCTCAAGGATGTAGCCAGAGGGTGGGTCTCCCTCGGCAGGCTCCAGCCAGGCCAGGGAGATGCTGGAGTTGGAGGAATCCGACACATGCAGGCCCTGCACCAGGCCCGGGGGTTCTGCGTGACACAGACAACTAGTCAGCCCCCAGATTCTTCTCCACTCAACGCCATGCCCAATTCCTGCACTCAATACCCCTGAAACTTAACTTTCAACACCTCTACCTTCAACACTCACAGTTAAAACGCTCAATACCCAGGCTTTCACCTTCAACAACCTCTAAATTTAATTCTCTCAGTCTCAATACTTTCACCCTTGAAGTCAAAACCCTCCAAATTCAATATACACTATACACTCAACCCCTCTGTATTGAAAACTCTAGCCTTTAGCTCAGCCCTCTGCACCACACCCATTCATGCGTGATCTCCCCATCTCACCACCTAAGCTCAGCACCCACCCAACCACTTACCCAACACCCCTGCTCAATCCTCAAACATGCTTCTACTACCTCCCCTAACCAGACATACTCAACATTTGATAAAAACTTTTTTCCACCCACCTCCTCGCTGTCCCTGACTCTCAATCTTTATTTGCTGGCTTTCTCTTGTGTGTGAATCTTGTCCCTCTATCAGGCTGGCGGCTCCCAGAGAGTGGAGACCGTGTGATCCACTCCTGTTAGACTTTCCCGGGAAGAAATCCTCTTTCTACCTCCAATGGCTAATTCCACTATGTGTTGGGGCCTGGCAGCACCATACTCACTGACAGGGTCCTTGGCTACCACTGAGCTGGATGGCATACTAGGCTGTCCGGGGCCTGCCTTATTCACAGCTACAACTCGGAATTCATATTCTGTGTCCTCCAGGAGACCATCCACAGTGTACTTGGTGCCTGAAATGGGAATTTGAGGGGTAATGAGGCCAGGGGTGGTCCACGTGGTAGGAGACCATAGAGTGAGTAGATGTGGAAGAGGGGGTCATGAGATGCTATGAAAACCCACAAAGGAGTTGGAGGAGGGAGTATGTTCAGAGCAGCACGGGTACATGGGTCCACCCAACAAAGTCTCCCTTGGTCCCTCCTGGGCCTTTGTCCCTCGACCTCACCCTGGATGGGGTCCTTGTTGACTGGCACCCACAGGTTACTGCCTTTCTTCCTCCGCTCCACAATGTAGCCGAGCACTGGGGCTCCCCCATCTTGGGTGGGGGCGTTCCATGTGATGGTCACAGCCTCTTTGGTCACGTCAGTCACTTGGGGCTGGGAGGCAAGACCAGGGGGCTCTGTGGGAGAGAGAGAGAGGGCAGAGGTTAGGTGGGGGAGCATGTAGACAGTTGCCCACCCCATGCTGAGCTCTGGTTCCTTCCTTAAAAAAACTTAAGCCAATGATTAACTCTGGTTGCACATTAATGTCATGTGGGAAGTAAAAAAAAAAACCCAAAACACCACCAAAAACTAGTGTCTGGGTCCTGTGTCCTGATATTCTAATTCAGCTGGCCTAGGGTGGAGACCAGGAATCAGCATTTTTTAAGAGACCTCAAGTGATTCTAATGTGTAGCCAAGATAGAGAGCCGCCAACTTGAATTTTCCAACCTGTGGCATCCCCAGTGGCACAGTTTTTAATGTACTGTCTTGACACACAGAAACATGGAGATCAGTTGGGAGGAGTGTAGCAAGTAATTAACTAGTGATCATAATTAAAATGCCAATGTTGTCAAGGGTTTTCTTTGGAAAAAAAATTAGTGGATTCAAGGCTATCCCTAAAGTAACATTACTCTCCCTTGCGTATGGGATGATTTCTGGAATGGAGAAACAAGTGGAGTTATCTCCCTGGAACTGTGCACAGTTCTGGAGGTACCCACGGGAGTGTGTTGTGCATGTGATCTGACTGGAAAAAGTTGACAATTCCCGTCCAAAACGATCTTCTGCTCTTACTCTAGAAGCCATCTGTCTCGTGGGGCAGCTAGAGATGACCCTGCGGAATCTCCCACAGACCAGCACTCCTCACCGGCTGAAGGTCCCCACGGTGGCCCCTGAGGTCCCCATTGAGCACGGGGCTATCTCACTGACCAATAGGATTTCCTGCAAACACTTCCTCTGTCTCCAGCGGGTCGCTCACTCCTTCCGAATTGACGGCCAGGATACGAAACTGGTAGGCCTTCCCCTCTTCCACCTTGTTGGTGGAGAATTTGGTGACTTTGCTGTCCACCTCACCAATCTTAATCCAGGACTTCTTGCCGACTGCCTTCCGTTCCACTATGAACTGTGTTATAGGCCGCCCGCCGTTGTCCTTCGGGGCCTTCCACTTCATGTGCACACAATTACCCGAGAGCTCCAGGAACTCCACCCGGCCTTGGGGAGGCTTGGGACGGTCTAAGGACAGAAGAGAGCATCAGAATGTGTCTTTGGAGCAAAGGGCCAGAAGGGCTTCATCCCACTGGTTGGAGGTCCACCAGACTGAGACATAGCTAGGTTCTGAGCTTTGCGGATCCCTTGCCCTTCCCTCTGTCACTGTTTTCCTAAGACTTGCCCAAATGTCTTGATCCCTGCCCCCCCGAGATTCCTGTCTGCCTAGGAATGAGTGAACTGGACCTGAGGGACCCCCACCTCAGCTAATTCCCACTTACCTCTTCCAGACAAGGTCCCCCCTCCTCTCAGCTTCCAGAACTCCAGTACTTTCTTTTATTACAGTTTATTTTATAATTACATGTCTGCCGGTTTTTATCCCTTTTGGGTTGAGGGACTGCTGGGGATAACTCATCCCTGTGTCCTCAGTACTGAGAACACAGAGGAGGTGCCCAGTCATACTGCCAAACTGAATTGAAACCCAATCCATCCAAACCCACAGCTTGATGGAGATGCAGGTGGAGGAGGTGATGCTGGGGTGTGTGTGTGTGTGTGTGTGTGTGTGTGTGTGTGTGTGTTGCATGTTGAATATGAGTTCACTAAGGCCAGCTCCTCATGTCTTTCCTTAACTTTATGTTCAGACCCATCCCAAATACCATTCCCACCCTCATTCCATCTTTCTCTCGATTTCATTCTATCCTCAACCCTATCTCACCTCCCCTCACTCCATTTCACTTCCAACTCCAATATTCTTCGCAATGAACCTCACTTTCATCCTAAATTCCACCTCTCTTTTACCTCATTTCCACCTTACTTCCAACCACATCCTCATCTCCAAGTCAGTTACAATACTTCAGCAACATCTGAAGGTCAAGTACGTGCTGTGCACTCTGCTATCGTCTTTAAATTCACTTGAAATAGGCACTTTAAAAAAACCACCCTGTCGCAGATGAGAAGCTGAGGCTCAGGAAGTTAATGGACTTGCCCAAGGCCACCTAGTTAGGAAGTTAGGAAATGGGCGTCTTCTGGCTGCAAAGCCAGCACTTCATTCCCATTCTCAACCCGAACTCCAGCGCTCTCCTCAGCCTGCGTGCCGCCCCCAGCCCAGCCAAGCCAGGGTCTTGGCCTCACCCAGCGCGCTGAGGTGCAGCGTGGCTGTGGCGGAGCCATGGTCATTCTTGAGCTTGAGCATAATGATGCCACTGTCCTCCCGCGCGCAGTTCGAAATGGTGAGCAGCGCCTGGTCTTCCCCACGCTCCATCGACACGCGTTCCTCCTCCGTCACCTCCATGCCGTCCTTGTACCACGTCACTTTGGGCAGCGGCTTTGCCCGGAAGGGCACTTTGATGTTCGCGGTGTGGCCCACCTTCACGGTCACCGGGTGCGCGGCCAGTGCCTCCAGTACCGATGGGTCGATGGTTGGAGGATCTGCAGGGAGGGGAGGCAGGGAAGGCTCGAAGAGCAGGGACGCGGGAGGAGCCGAGGGGTGGAGGAGGAGCCCATGGGGGATGGGGGAGGAGCTAGGAGTAGGTGGGCGGGCCAGGCGTATAGTGGGCGGCGACCTTACCTGCAATAAATACCGAGGCTTCGCTCTCTGCACCCTTGGCCCTGAATGTGTACTTGCCCTCGTGCTCTGGCCCCATATTGGGGAAGATGAGCTTGTGTACTGCACCCTGCTTCACGATCTGCGCGCCGGTCAAGTCCGTGATCTGCGGGGCGAGGGGCGGTCATGAGTGCGAGTGTATGCCCGGTCGACCCCTTCGTCCTTCATTTCCTTCCCTGGCCCCTGTCTCGGACCTCCTCGGCATCCTTCAGCCACACGCCATCCACCTTTTCGTCGTTCAGCACTACGCACAGCTCAGCCGAGCTCCCGGTGGCCGCGTGCACGTCGGACATCCCGCTCTTCACGGTGGCCAGCCGCTCTCGAGAGAAAGGGGGCAGGGGTTGGGTTAGGGTATCGGGGTGGAAGGGACTTACGGGAAAAGGGCTGGTGGCATCTATCAAAATCATTTATGATGAGCAAGATGTTTGGAAATGGGCAAGTGGGTGATGGTCGGTGGGGGCATTAGAGCAGGTAGGTGGGGGGCGGTTGGGGAAAAGTCAATGGCATTGGGAAATGGCAACTGGGAATTCTGGGAGATGGCTAATGGGGGGCTGATCATCGGAGGATGGTCAGTGGGGACATAGGATGCTCAGGTGAAGAAGGGGACTAGATGGTGGGATGCAGGTGGTTAATGGAGTTGGGATATTTAGCTGGTTATGCTGGTCTGTGGGATGCCCAGCGTTTATTGGGAGTTGAGGGTGGTCAGAGTCAGTGAGGAGTGGTCAGGGATAGTGAGTAGGGGCTGGTCAGGGTCTAGGGGTGTGGGGTGACCAGGTTTGCTGGGGATGGTCAGAGTCTGGAAGTAAAGGATGGATGAAGTCTAGGGATTGGGGATAGAGTTCAAAAGATGAGGGATGGTCAGCGTCTAGGAGGTAGAGATGGTCAGAATTTGGGAGATGGGGGTGGTCAGAGTGGGGAGGTAGAATTAGATCATGGTCTAGAGGACGATTGAAGTCAGTCAGGGGACTGATGGGTGTCCACAGTAGGAAACTGTTAGGGCTGGGGGGTTGGTCAGTGGGGACTGACAGGGCGTATACCTTCCACAGTGACTACAGCAGTACTGCAGTATTCCATGGGGTCCCCATCCTGCATGGCCACCACAGTGTACTCGCCACTGTCACTGAGCTGTGCATCCTCGATGACCAGCTCCGCTCGCTTGCCCTCATGGTTCATGCTGTATTTGGAGCTACGCTCCAGCAGCTGTCCGTCCTTCTTCCAGCGCAGGGTCACATTCTTGGATGTCAGCTCACACTCAAGGCACGCACAACTCCTCTCTTTCACACGCACGTTCTTGAGGGTGCTCACAAACTTTATAGGGATGCCTATGGACAGACAAACAAACACTTGGTCCTGCTCCCAACCTCCTTCTCTGCAGCTAGATGCTGCCCTGCTCCTCTTCTTGACCCTAGAAACCACAGGGCCTTGTGACATGAAGTGTGTACCCGACTCACAGAGGTACCCGGCAGGGAGGGTCCCAGCTCTGCCTCTTGCTTGCCAGCTGACTGTATGCAGAGCATTCACTCCCTAAGTCTCATTTTCCTCATACGTAAAATGGGACAACAGCTTTCACCTCCTCACGGCACTGCAGGTGATATCTCTAATGTCCCCTTGGAGCTCCAGCCATAATTGCATTGTCTCTCTGGTGTCTGGGCCTTTACACATGCTATTCCCTCTCCTGAGAATGTCCTCTTCTCTTGCCCCTTCCCTGAAAACTGAATTCCTTTTTGTTTTACTTGGTAAAGCTTTGCCGTCATCTCATCATATCCTTTTTGACATTGCCACGTGGTGCCTCTTCTCTGGGTTCTCACAGCCTCCATGTCTCCCTCAATCACAGCAATGATTGTTCCATGTCACTTGTGTCAAGAGTGGTTCACAAGTATGACCCACCATCATGTGCAACTCTCCAAACTAGGTATAATATAAGAATGTAAGTAGTCAAGAGTGATGTGCTGTAATATATGATATTAGAGCCATAAAGGCTAATAATTTCTTGACCTGTGATCCCCCAGCCGATAGTAAGATCCTAGAGTGTCTTGACTCCTTGCTTAAGAACTTTTGTTCTAATTCCATTGCCACACCTGCTTCTCCCACTAGACTAGGAATTAGCAGAGAGAACTCTCTATCTTTCTAGTAGCCATCAAAGGGCCTTGCAAGGAGGAGATGGACAGATACATGGATGGATGGATGGATGGATGGATGGATAGATGCTCACATGGAGGTTGCTGTGGCATGAAGCCCACCCCTCAAGCTCTGGCCCGAACACTCACGGTCAATAGTGAGCTGGGCCTTCTGAACCAGGTCCCCCACCTCGGCAGAGAACTCGCCACTGTCACTGAGTCTGGCATCCTTAATCTTAAGCGTGTGGGTCAAACCATCCTCAGACACAGTGATTTCATACTTTTCATCCCTCTTCAGCTCCTTTCCATTGAACTTCCACACAAAGTTGGGCACTTTCTTGGAGAGGTGGATCTCAAATACAGCTGTCTGGCGCTCCATCACCTTCATTGGCTTCATCTCTCCCAAGAACTTCAGAGGCTCATCTGCAGCAAAGAGTAGGAGGGGCATTCATTGGGCTGTATCCCTGATCCCTCCTGAGGGGCAGGATGGTGAAGGGGGGGCATAAAGACTCAGGTGTCATTGGCGTCCTGTAGCCCACAGTTGGGGAAAGCATCCTTCTTTCCTTCTGCTTGTGAATCCTAGAGTCTCCCCCCATGATGTTCATATGGTCTCCTCCCCAGTAATGTTAACAGCAATTTTAGAAAGAATATTTCTCTATGTGATTTTAGATATGCGCCAGGCACTATTCTAGCCATTTTGCACATATTAAAGCATTCAGGTAGACTCTACCATTATTTCCCATTTTACAGATGGGAAAACTGAGGCAAAGAGAAGTTAAATCACTTGCCCCAAATACACAGCTCATAAGTGACAGAAGCTGGGCTTTGAACTCCAGTAGTTCAACTCCAGAAGCTGTACTCTTAACCACTATGCTACACTGCCCCATAGCACTTTATCTCATAGTCCTCTCCCTTATACCCCATGTCTCTCTCCGCCATTAACTCCCATTCCCGTGCAATCTGTGCACAGCCCCATGGTCCTTCCTCCCATGTCCCCATGGACCCCGTCCTTGGATATTCCTCTGCCCTGACCCTGACTGTGTCCTCCTTGTGCTGCCTGGTGCCCACACTCTTACCCAGCACTGTGAGCTTTGCACTTATCCTCTTGTTGTCCACGGACAGGCTGTAGGTGCCTGCATCGTTCATGTTCACGTTGGTAATGACCAGCATGTACTTGGTGCCCATCTGCTTCACGTCATACTTGCCCAGGGAGTACTGGATCCTCAGTGGCTCATTATCCTGCCTCATGGAATAGGTAGAAAAGCTGATAAAGGGGTTTAGGAGGAGATTTCTAGAGGTCTCCATTCCCCAAAGCCAGCCTGAGCTGGAAGGTGCCGTATCTACCTCTCTAAGATCCTCAAACACACTCAGAGGCCCCTAAGATCTCTCTAGCCTCATCATCTGGCTCGGTGGGATCCAGGGTCTCTGCCTCTCCCGAGACCCGAACTCTTAATATGCATGAGTTCACTAGATACTTTCTCTTAGAGGTCCATCTTCAGTGACCTGCAGGACTATCTAATCCAGCCTTTTCAGATGGGTAGACTGAGGTATAGAGAAAGGGAAGTAACTGTCTCAAATCAAACAGCAAACTGGTGGAACATCTAAGAATAAAGCCCAGCTCTCATCCAGTTTCAACCATACCAGATGGCATCCTTTGGATGGGATGGAGGAGAGGAAAGGGCTTATGGGTATTGAGAGGGTCTTGGAAGGAAAGGGGTGCAGAGAAAAAATGATATTCCAGGGTGGGCCCTTCCTAGGTGCTCTCCCCACCTTGATCCATGTCATTTTGACATTGGGGTCCTTCAGCTCCATTATACAGTCAAAGACCACCGTGGTATCCACCTTGGTCTCTCTGTCTTCCAGGGGCTTCAGAATCTGGATGGTCTGAGAAATTGTGGTAACAAAAAGGCAGGTGTCAGAGGCATCTGGAATCTGGAATCTGCCCAGACTGTGTCTCCAGTGCTGGAGGAGCCCCCTGAAGGTCTGGGGAGAAATGACTAGGCTGATTAGATAACTGTGCTCCCCGCCACCCCCCTCCCCCTACAACGAACAACTTGAAGATTTAGGGGGAAACGGGTATGATAAGGGAAGAGAAAGGAACCACCATTTGCGGAATAGTCACTATGTACCTGGGCCCATTACATAGGCCTTCTAATTCCAGTGTAGATGCTTAACAGTTATGAGTTGTTGAGTGACTAAATGAGAACACCACCACAAAAACAAATGAAAAAGGAAAGTATAATTTTCATTTTGCAGATGAAGAAACAGGATCAGAGAGACCCCCAAGTTCACTCAGTTAATAAGGCAGTAGAACTGGACTTTGAACCCAGGTCTGTCTGACTCCAAAGTCCATGCAAATACATTAGGGAGCAGTGAAGAGAAAAGAGGTAGAAGGAGGGTGACCTGAGTTCCTTGCCTGCCCTTGCAGTAGAGAATGCCCTTGAGTACGCACGTGCGTGGTGGGGAGACCTTGCCACCGGGAGTCACACAGGCACTAGCACTTTCAGTAAGGCCCAGCCCCTGGCCTGCAGCTCCCTGCTCCCTGATGGGCACTGACCTCTACCTCCACTTTCTTCATCCCTTTGAGCTTCTTGAGCAGTCCCCGGAAGTCTGTGAAACCATACTCCATGCAGGTCTTCTCAAAGTCCTTCTTGGGCACCTGGGACAAAATCTCCAGCATCTCTTTCTCATCCGTCACCTTCTGCTGCTGCTTCTTGGGAGGAGGGGGTCCCCTGGAAGGAAGTGGGTGCCAAACTTGGACTTAGTGCCTTTCTCTGAAGACAGAGGGGGCCTCTCCCAACCATGAGATGCTCCTCCCTACTCCATGGATTCTTGGAGGCTGGGCCATTAACTCAGGGGGCTGTTGAAAGGCCTTCCAGAAGCTCTAGCCTGGAGGGTGGGGGGACCACACCCTAGGCAGAGGAGCCTCCCAGCCTCACCTCTTCCTCAACATCTTTTTGAAATCCAATTTTTCTTCACCTGAGGACAGAGAGAGGGACAGGGTCAGACAGAGGGAGTTTGGTCCCTAAGAGGAAAGGCCAGGAGAACGGGGCTGGCTCACCCTCGGTCACAAGCAAGGACACGGTGTAGATGGCGTCTGCATGGTCATTGCTTGCAATGCACTTGTAGTTGTCAGAGTCATCCGAGGTCAGTGGCTCCAGCTGGATCAGAGTCAGGCCATTAGCAGGGGAGGTGGGGAGGGAACCACAGGGGGACTGTCTGTGAGATGGGAAAGGAGGGTGTTTCTTTCGGGCTGGGGGAGGAGCTGAGTGCTGGATGTGTGTGTGGAGGATTGAGCAGCCTCTGTGATTAGGAGGTGCCAGGTAGCGGTCAGTGTGCGTGTGTCTGTTTGGAGCCTGATTCTGCATTGGATTCTCCCCCTTGGCTGTGAGCTCCTGGATGACAGGGACTTCCTCTGATTTGCAGCTTTATCTGCAGTTTCTGACGCTGGGCTGAGTACGCCTTTATTCAACACGGATTTACTCCTCTGTACCAGGTATTGGCCTGAGCCCCTGAGGAAATGGGGGTGAACAAGGCTGCCCTGGCACCTGTAGAAAGGCACTTAGGTACCAGTGGGTTCCTGGAAAGTGCTTGCCGAATGAATGACCTTGTGTAAGGAGTGGCCAGTGGTGGGGGGGGGGGGGGGGGGGGGCGCTCTGGGGCAGCTTGTGTGTGCTGTAGGGGCTAAAGGTCCTAGAATGCGCCTTCGGGAGGAGAAGGAAGCAACCAGCGTCTGTGGGGAGAAGGGAGGCGCTTTGCCTTTCACAGTGGGAAGTCCGGGCAGGATGAGGAACAGGAGTAATTATAGGTCTAGGTCTCCCAGGGACCCATCCCTCCCTCTCCTCAAAGGGTCTGGAGCCAGAGGCTGCATGCAGAAGATAGCTAGACCCTAGGATGATCGGCCCTTGGCATTGCTCTTCTGGAAGGTTCCCCTGAATAGCCCAGGAACCCTCACCCTCACCTACACTCTAGGACCAGCCCCTCCCTCCGTGCCGGTCCCGCGCCAGCTCAGCCTGGCTCCGCCCACCGTGGTCTTAGCCCCTTCTAGCCACGCCCATAGCTTTGGTTTCACGTTCCTTTTGGGTTCACTCACCTTCTGGAACCTCTCTTTCTCTTCCATTTGGTCTTGCCCCCTCCTTGTTCTGGCATTGTCCTAGCTCTGCCTTACCCCGCCCCTAATTTTGGTCCCCTGCTCACTCTGGCAACCCCCCAGCTCCTGACATGGTTTCTCTTATCCTGCCCCTCCTCTAGGGCAATGACAGCCCCTTTTCCCATCTCCCAGTTCTTGGGTCTCCATTGTGGATCTCTTGTTTGCGACAGGACCTGCAGCCCATGCCAGGGGTCCCCGCCTCCGACCTTATGGGTAACTGGACCTCGCACCTTCAGCACGTGCTCCTTGTTAACGCTGTCGTAGAATATCTTGGCGGACTCCTTGATGGGGGTGCCGCTCTCTCTCTTCCAGGAGATGTTGGGTTTGGGGTTCCCCTGCACCCGGACTCGGAACATGGCTTTATCCCCTGCAGTGGGCACAGGACCTATTTTTTCCCTCTTAGCCTCCAAGCTGCACCTTCTACCTGCTCCCAGCCCTGAGCAGGGCAGGGACCCTCGGCCCGACCCAGCCAGTGATTGTGTATTGAGAGGACAATGGTGGTGGTGGTGGCGGCTGGGGCACTGGGGAGGAAAGGGAAGCACCCAGGGGCCTGGGGAGACGCGGGGAGGGACGCACCCTCGGGCGCGGTGACCGGCTGAGGCTTATCCACGAACTCCGGGATGCTCTCGCCAGCAGGGATGTTGGAACTCCGGGTCACCAAGCTGAAGAACTCTGTGGTGCTGGAGGACTTCCTCGTCACGATTTCCTCTGTGGCGGCGGGCGAGAGGTCAGAATGGGCCACAGGCGGAGCTTAGCCTGGGATTGGAGGGCTGACCTTTTCTTGAGGGGACGGTGGAGCATTTTAGGTTAGCGGGGGGCAGGACCAGCACTGGCCGAGAAACAAGGACCTTAAAGAGTCGGTGGGTCATTGTGTTATGGCAAATTTCAACCACTAGGGGAGCCAACGCCTCATCCACCCCCTGGTCAATCTTTATTGGGTCAAAGCCTTGAGTTCTACTTTTTTCTCTCTTAGACGGAAACTTGTCTTTGGGATTTTATGGGTGTCTTGGGCTTCTCTTCTGGAAGTTCTGGTCCCCCAGTAGCATTAAATAGTGACCAGAGTTCTAAAGGCTGCACCTGGTCTACACATGTTTTTTTATTTGACCTTTACAATGTTTAAACAAAAAATAGCCCTACATCTAAAAACAGATTTCACATAAAAATGCAGACTTCTGGATCCTCAGCACTGGACTCACATTCCCATATGGTAACAGAACAGTCAGTGGGAGGGAGGTGAAGAGTGACTGTCCCTTTAGATGGACTATATCCTGTCCAGTTCACCTCAGTCTTTTTTTCTGCATTTATGTTCCCTGCCTGGACACTATTGGCCAGTGGTTTTCAACGCTGGCTGCACGTCAGAATCCCCGGAGATCTTAAAAAAACAAAAAACAAAAAACCACCAGATTTAACCCTCTGACTCACATATCGCTGTTTTTTTTCACTCCCCTCTCCCCCCACTCCTACACTAAGATGACTCTGATGCGCAGTCAGGGCTGAGAATCGCTACTATAGTCAATTGAGTTTGCAACTCCTGGTCTTGAGTCCCGGCTGTTCCACTAGCTCTGCCTCACTGGCCAGGAGAAATTGGTGTAAAGTGTTTATCTGGTCTTCACCTCTGTGCACAGAGGACTCTGAAGGAGGGGGCAATGACTGGGAGGACAGGAATTCAATATCCTGGTCCCTGGCCATCTTTTAATCACTTTCCTCTAGAGACATGACTAAAACAGTCTGTTCTGCTCTGAGACCATTTCTCAGCTTTCCCTTGGATCTGCCCTCCCCCAAGTCTGGTCCCCAAGGGCCGAGTGCCTGGAAGCTCAAGTCAGTTGTTTATGTGTTCATCTTCTCTCCACTGGCAGCTCCAGGTCTTCTCTTTCTTAAGTGAGGCAGGGCCAGCATTATTATTCATAGGTAGATAAGGTTGCTACCTCCCTAACTTCCTCCATGCCTGAAATTCTACCATCAGAGATGGTATTTGCCTATGGCTCTGATCTTAAGCAATTGAGAGTTCATCAATCACTCACACACATCCATGTGACTGATTTTTCCTAAGCTTTTTTTCTGGAGGTTGGATCTGTGGGTGAGCATCTGGCTGGCTAAGCTTTATCAAAGCACAGATTAGAAACACAGGTTGGGAAGGGTTGCTGGTGGTATCTTGGGCTCTCGAGGGGCCCAGCAGTCACAAATACTGGAGGAAGAAAGGCTGCCCCTACCTGATTACTGACCCCCTCCTCCAGCCATCCCACTCTACTTGCCTCCCACGATCTTGGTTGTCTGGGAGAAGGTCTGCATGTCGGTGGTGGAACTGGAGAACTCCATGGACACGTGCTCCTGAAGCATCTCCTTGTGGTGAATGGTCATCATGGTGACAGCAGGCGTGGGCACTCACCTGGGAGGACCAGGGAGAGGATGAGGCCATGAAGGACAAGGAAGGGAGCAAGAGGGAGACTCAGAGATGTTCTTATGTGTGTGTGTGGTGGGGGGGAAGGGATGGGACAGGTGGACACAGAGGGAAATGGCTGTGCACAGGGGAGGGTGAGGAGAGGTTGGGCAGCAAGCCTCTTCTCTCTGGCCTCTCTTCTCTTCCCTTAGTGTCTCCCTTTCCCTGGTTGGCTACAAGGACCAATGGGCCTGTCCCCCACTGACTAGTGCCAAACTATTCCAAGTACTTGGAGGGAGAGGAGGTAGGATTTAGACTTACCCAGCATACCCAGTAAGGCCCAGAGGGAGTTGAGGATAACTACTGATAGCTACATGGAACTAGGGGGGCACTGCTGGAGGTTTTATCAGGAGAGGATGAAGTCAGACCTGAGAAGGAACTTCCTGACTAAGCCACACTGGAGCAGGCCTTGAAAGGAAACTGCGGATCTTCTTGCTGGGCCCTGGGGAGCCCTGGCATTGGGGGAATGCTAAGACAGGTGACAAAGCACTGCTACAGCTCTGCTTTCGTTTGCGACATGGTAAAGACAGAGATTGAGTTTTTATTTCTTATACTTTTTTTTTTGAATTGGTAATTCAATCATATAGTTAAAAAGTAAAACAATATAAACATCTATGTGAAGAGGCTCCCTCCGGCTCCCAAGCCCCTCCGTCTCCCAGCCCTCCCCAGCAGGTAACCACTTGTGGTCTCTGGGCTCCTTCTGGAGCTCCTTCATGCAAATATGAATATGTTTTTGTCTCTACTCTTTTTTAACACATAAGGTAGCCTATTATACACGCTATTCAGCCCTCTTTTCACTTTCTTCATCTTTCAGATCTTTCCATCCCAGTTTGTAAAGTTTCCCCATCCTTGTTAATAGCTACACAGTATTCCAACGAATGGGTATACATACCATCTTTTATTTAACCAGAGTGGTTAAATAAAACCGCAGAGTGGCGGTTTTTAAACCTCTATTTTGTTTATGAGAAACTGATGTTAGAGAAATAACCTGTCCGAGGTCACCCGTACTAGAATCCTGGCCTCTTGACTCCCAGTCCAGTGTCCTTCCAGGGGACCCCAAAGCCTTCTTCCACATTAGAAGGTTTGGGGCTAAAGTTAACCCCCTCATCCCATGATATCTCTCTGCCTGGCCTGCTTCTCCCTCCGGGTTCTGAGACCACTCCCCTGTCCCAGCTCCTGCTGTCCCCCTCTGGGCTCAGAAGTTAGCAGATTCTGCCCCTTTCCTGAGGGAAGATGCAAGCCTTACCTTCGTGTCACCAATCCCTTGTAACCCTCGAATGCTGTGTCCACCGCAGCTTTGGAGGTGCAGCTGGTGCCTGGGCTGTAGACTGACCAGTCTCCTTCTTCCTTTGCCCCAGCAATGGGGCCACCAGGAGTCACTGGTTCCTTAAGTATCTGGCCCCCTGGGGGCGATCCCTTACTCAGGCTCTGCAGCTGTCCCAGCGAGCTGGCACACTGCTTTGCGGGGTGGGGGGACTGAGGCCAGGGCTGGAGGAAACGTGGGGCATGGGGCAGGCAGGCGGCTGAGGGGGGTGGTCCTGGGGTACCTTTTCTGTTCCCTTGTGCAGAGCTTTTTGTTCTCACTGCTGCCGGGTGGGACCTTCTGAGCTGAATGGCAGAGTGTGTGTGTGTGTGTGTGTGTGTGTGTGTGTGTGTGTGTGTGTGTGTCCAACAGGGCTTGGGGAACAAAGCGACAGGTCTGTGTTTTCCAGGGACCAGGAGGGGGTGAGTTAGGGAGAGTCTGGCAGGTCTGTCATTTTGCACAAATCCAGGGGGCACCGTTCGTGTTGTGCTCTACACGTGGTGCCTGCAGAGGCTGAGTGGCCTCACAGGGCCACCCCAGGAGAAGAGGGGGAATTGTTAGCTCTTTTCCCCGCTCCCGTTTCTACCGCCCAACCCCCCTATTCTGGGCAGAAGGGTAGAAGAGCCCACCCTCTTGTTGCAGGGTGGCTGGAGAGCAGGCCCCCCTACTCTGGGCCCTCCGTCCCTGCTGCCCAAGCACTCCCTGTTCTTTCCTCATTGTCTGTAGTATACCCTCGACCGGCCCACTCAAGGCTACCTTGTAAGGACCTGCTGGTTAGCAGCCCTGCCCTGGACTCCCTCCTGCCCTGGGTTGACCCACACCTGTCATCAAGGGCATGACAACTACTTTTGCTGCATCCCTGGGGGCTGGGATAAGAATAGAGCAGGAATGTCTAGGAGGCACAGCGTCTTTGCCTAGGGGCAGATTCCCCAGGCTCCTTGGGTGGGGCTTCCTCTCAGCCCAGGCCTTACAGGGGAAATTGCTGGCTTGCAGCTGCTCTTGAGACCTGCAGGGCTAACAAGGGATAAGTGGGCTGGCCAACAGGGAGGGGCCTCAGTGAGCTGAAGGTCTCCCTGCTCCAGCCTTGGCCTCTCTGGCCCATCTGTCAAAGCTGGTGGCCTGCCAGACACTTTTCCTTCTCTGGAAACCTCCAACACCTGTCCCTGTGGCTCCCCATGGCTCCTGGCTCCTGGCTGGGTGAGACGGTGGGGGTGTGTGAGGATCCTGCTCGATGGACTTTGGCTTTTCAAATCTGGATTCAAGCCACACTCCCAGCATCCACAAGGGGGTCCCACGGATCTTGAGGGCCAGGGTGTGTGTGTGTGTGTGTGTGTGTGTGCGTGTGTGTATACAAAGACGGGGATACAGGGAGTGGAGGGGAGAGGCAATCACACAGGCCCAGTTTTGCTCAAAATGCTCCATTTATTGCTCTATTCAATGACCATGAGCAAATTATAAAAAGACACCAAATGTCTCTGTCTGCCGTGGAATAAGTACTTAAAGTCAGCAATAAAAACACGTGGCTCCAAGATAACACATGTTGCCAAAGAGTCATGCATGCCCTGCTGACGGGCTCTCAACACACGCATGGACATGGGACACACGCAGAGCTACACGTGGTGAGACTTCTGGGAGGGATTTCCCACAGTGACACCGAAAAATGTTTCACACATATCTGGGGCCGAGTCCCCACCCCACCCTCGGAGCTCCCCCTCTCCCATCGTGGCCCAGGTCCTCTAGGTTCACTGTCCCCATCTGTCCCCTTCCTCCCTGATGCCTCGTGGGTTGCTCACTGCCTCCTGCGGGCATCTGACACCCAGAGGCCACCCTGGCTGCGATACTCCTCCCACCACCACCACCCAGAGACCTCTCCCCAAGCTGAGATCTTTCTGCCACCCCCTCAGGAGCTCCCTGTGCCTGACCTCCAGGTCCTCAGGCCCCCCGTCCTTATCCTGGTCCCAGTAACTAGGGGCAAAGTGCAATCTGCCTGTTGGGAGAAGTGGGGCTGGGGGCCGGGGGCAGGCACCTCTGCCAGGGCCACTTGGGGGCTGGAGCTCATTACCCTTCTCCCGGGCTGAGGAGACACAGTGTCCGGTACAGACAGCAGAGATGGATGGACAGACAGAACACGCTGCAGCAGGACACGTAGAGTGCGGCACGGAAATGTTTTGGATCAAGTAGCAATGGAACCATCATTAAAAACCAAGGCCCCAGGTCGCGCAGCGTGGGTCAGGCCCTGGGGCCCCAGGCCTGGCCTGGCACACCCCTCCCCCACCCTCCCCCACTCCCCAATATGTACAGTAGGAAGAGCTACGTTGTGGGGGGAGGCAGGGGCCAGGCCCAGGCTGGGGAGCAGACTGAGGAGAAGGAAGCGGGAGGGACAGGGGGCAGGCTGGACCTGAGGCAGGGCCCTGGGTGTGGCCGGGATGAGGGCCCAGACTCAGGCTGGGTGGTACCCAGAGGACCTCGGGGAGGAGTGTGGTCACTCGGGGGACTGGCGGGACAGCTGCTTCTCGTAGAGGCTCATGACGTGGTGCACGAACTGGTACTGCTCACACGTCTGGATCATGCCGCCCCTGCCCAGCAGACGCACAGTGGGGACGGGGTCATGGAGGGACCTGCCCCCAGATCCACAGAGTGCCAGTCATCTGAGGCACATCAGGGACTCTGTGCAGCTTAGAGAAGCCAACCCTGGCCAGCCACTCCCCCTGCCCCTTCCTGTCCCTCCCAGCTCTGGCACAGACAGCAGGGACACAGGTGACATGTCCCCCCCCACTCAGCCCCTGCCCCTCTGTCCACCAGCTCTGTTTCTCTCCCCTCTTCATCCAGCCACCAACTGCCTGGATCCGGTTCCTTTACCCATCTGTCCTCCCTACTTCCTGTCTGCTGGTCAGTCCCCATGGAGTGTGTCCCCTAACCCTCACCCTATGCACACGTCAGTCTCTCTCTGCTGCCCCCAGGGCTCTAGCTCCCCACGTGCTCAGACCCTGCCCATGGGCTGACCTGTCCTGACGGAGCTGGCACGTGGTCTTCAGGATGTCCACCACGCCCTGGTGCCGCAGCTGCTGGCAGCAGATGCTAGTGGCGATGAAGCAGCCCGTCCTCCCAATCCCTGCACTGAGGGCCAAGGGCGTGGGTGGGTGAGGGGCAGGGCAGCCTAGGGTTGGGGGAAGTTGCCCTGCCCTCGTGGGTGTCTGGGAGGACCCACCTGCAGTGGACGACGATGGGGGCGCAGCGGGGCCCCTCCTGCTGGGCTGCCTCCTCCACCTCCTGCACCAGGTGCAGGAGTGGGGGGGCCCGGTCTGGGGTCTTCTGGTCAGGCCAGGATGTGAACCAGTAATGCTTCAGGCCTCGCTCTTCTGTGCCACTCTGTCCAGGACACAGAGGCCCACCCCAGATATACGTGAACTCTTTGAGCCCACAGATCAGCCCAGAGATGGATGGAGGGAAGGAGGAAACACACAAGAGGGAGGCCACAGGGAGTGGGGCCTCGGGCCTCTGCCAGCTATACCACATCACCCAGTGGCACCAGACAGAGACCCGAAGCCAGGTGGGCAGCAGGGGCTGGTCAGCAGCGTCAGCACTGGTCTTCACGTGGGTTCTGCCCCAGCAACTCCAAGATCATCCAAGAGAGGCGAGAAGTCCCTTCTCCAATTCACTCCTGTCTCCTGGTCACCCCTTAACAGCCCAGTCACCCCCCAAGAGCCCTGGGACCCTTCCTCTTGCCTCAGTATACTTCCCTGCCCACCTCCAACCCCAGCAAGTGTTCCCCCCTCCGTGCTATCCTCTCCACCACCACCGCCTCCACTTTGGTCTTTATCATCTCTCGACTGTGTGAGACCCTCCCATCTCCTCCCTGACAGCCTCAGCTCCACAGTGGTCAAAACGGTCTGTCTACAGCACAGGCTGCTCTGCTGCTCAGAACCCTTTGATGGCTGTCATTGCTCTTAGAAGCAAACCCACCGTCCCCGGTCTTCAGCCAGGCAAATAAGACACACATGGTTCAGCATCTACGCTCCAGGCCCAGCTCCTGCTCCTGTGAACTTGCACTTGATTCTCTTGCACTCCAAATGGTTTGCAGATCAAACCTCTGCTTCCCCCACCTCCTCCACGTATACACACATAGAGCTATTCTATCTTCCACGCCCTTACTTTTACTTTCTCTCTGCCTGGAATGCTCTCTCCACTTCTTTGCTTCCTAGCCAACTCTTACTCATCCTTCAGAACCCCATTCAGCACCACCATTTCCAGGAAGCCCTCCCTAAGCACCCTAGCTGACAAAGGGTCCTTCTTCTGTGCTCTTACCTATTTCTATGTCAGTACTTACCATTTTATAGGTGCTCCTTGAGGAGAGAGTCCAGGCTTTGGACAGCTCTGTGTTCCCAGTACCCAACCCAGAACCAGGCTCAGAGCAGGTGCTTGTAAAGGTTTATGGACAGAAGTAAATACCCCCAAGCCCCAAGTTGTCCCAATTCTTCCCTAACCAGTCCGGCAGCACTGAGAAGATGAGACAGCCCCAGCATATCTTTCGGGGGGAAAAAGGAAGTTGGTTCCTTGCACCCCTGTGTTACCTGGCTGTGGCAGCTACCACGGCCTCTGCCCTCTACCTCCTGGCCCTTTCCGCCCGCAAGCAAGCCTGTATCTTGGAGATGCTTAGTTGGCACCAGTCCTCCAGGGGCTGAGCTCTCCTTGACACCCCCTCTTTCACCTTTTCCAGTGGGAGGGGGCAGCTCAGAGGAACAAGTCTCAGGCCCTTGACATCCTATCCAGACCCTGTGGCTGCCAGCATCAGTGGACCTCCTAGGCTGTTTCTGGATAGGATGTCAGCTTACTGGCATCTAAGCTCATCTTCCAGACTTTGGGTTATTACAGTGGCACCACTTTCCCCAAACATGGGTCATATGATTTCTCAAAAACAGAACGCACTGATTCTCCTGACTCCAAAGGAACAATCTCCTCTAATGCTGAGCCTGGAAGAGGCTCAACCTCAGGGTGGGAGGATGCCTCCCCTCACTCTTTTGGGCTGTTCTGTAATTGCTCGTATTTCGTATGTCTTCTTCTCTTTTTTTTTTTTTTCCTTTTTCTGTGCAACCACAACCTCCCTGTGCAGCCCAAATGCAGCAAGGAGTGCCTGCCCTCTGGTGGACGGTGTCATACTACAGGCTGGAAGCTCAGGTAAAGGGATGTTTCTAGGCAGGACCTCAAAGCTCAGTTATAAGGACAGTGCTGGAAGCTGCTGAAGCCCCCTTTTCCAGACAGTCCTGGCCTTGGGTACACTTGAAGCAGAGCTGGAAGACATTATGAATGACAGTGTGGATGGAGAGAACCTAACGATATGAAATGCACTGAGGGTTTGGTCCTTCTTCTGGCCTCCAAGTCTATTCACCACACTCTCCCTCGTCCCTGCTTATCAGTAAATCCTGGGAGTGACACACGCCTTAATTTCAGCTATCATGGCCTCTGGGACCCTGTTGGCTGTGGAGTCCCCCATCTGCCCAGCCCAGTCCAACCCCAGGCCTCACCCTGAGAGCAATGAGTCGGAGCCGGTAATCCTCAGTGTGGATGACTTTCCGCACAGTGATCTCCACGCCGTCGTACACCACCTGCTCCTCCGGCCAATACTCGGTGCACTTCTGCAGGGGCCCAGATCAGGCTGTGATATCCCCAGCACCCCAGCCATACTCTCCCCAATACCCCTCCCAGGCCAGCGGGAAGAGAGGTAACAGGGCAGTAGGTTTGCAGTTAGAGAGTTCAAATCTCAGCTTCCTAACCTGTAAGTTACTTCCCTTTTCTGAGCCTGAGTTTCCTCACCTGGAACATGGAAATAATACCCATTTTGAAGGACGTTTATGGGAGTTCGATTAAATGGGCCGTGATGCGTACAGAAGTAGCCAGCATCAGCCCTGGCAGGCTGAGCAGCAGCAGAGCATCGTGTTTAAGATCCTGAGCCCTGGAGGTGGAGAGGCCACAGCTCCAGGCTCTGCCTCTGACTCTCTGTGTGGCTCTGAGCAACTGACTTAACTTCGCTGAGCCTCACATTTCCTCCCCCTGGCAGGCAGTGAGGTGAACATACCAACCTCACAAAACTGCTGTAAGGATTAATACGGAAACGAGACGCTTAGCTCAGGGCACAAAGCAGCAGACACCTGGTAAGGTACAGGGGTGCCTACCTCGTTCATCTCCTCGATGTTGGTGATCATGACAATGATGGGCGTGTGCTCCTGCCACACCATGCGCCAGAAGTCGCCAACTGTGCTGACGATGGGTCCCTGAGTGGCGATATACACCTTCTCTTCCCCACCGTAGCCCTGCGGTCAGCCAAGGCCAGGCCATCAGGGTCAGAGGCCGTGCTCCTGGGGCCCAGTCCCCACACGCAGGCTCTTCCGGGGGGCTGGCAGGAGCCACATGGGCTTAGGGACAAGCCTAGAGGACGGATCCCATTGACTCGGGCCTCCCTTTCAGGGAGAGGCCATCGGGATGGGGCTACATACCCGGATGTAGTTGGCGTTGATGTAGGAACTCAGAGGGTCGTCAGGGTCTGGTGAGGTCAGACACACTCTGCTGTGAGGGTCTGGGGTGAGGGAGACAGGTGAGGCTGGGATTTAACATATGCAGTCCCCCTGGTGCAGAGCCCACTTTGCCCCATTTCAGGGCACCCACATTTCTTCTGGAACTTTAAGTTCCTTCTTCCCTTGCCCAGAAGCAAAACACTGACCCATCCCTGTGGCCCACTCAGGCAGGTGAGGCCCAGGCTGAAGAGGACGGTACAGAGAGAGGCCTTAGGTCTCTCCCTCTGTAGGATCCATGCCGCCCCTTGCCATGTGTCCCTTAAGCTTCCCTGTCCTCACTGTGCCTCATGTTCTGGGGAGGAGAAAGCTAAATCAGTAAGGAATTCCCTAGAGGATGAATCCTGGACAGCAGGGCTGAGTTCGAGTATACACTGTCCCCAACGTGCCGTGTAAGCCTGTAAAGCACATGGCCTTTCTAAGCCTCAGTTTTCTGATCTGTAATATGGGGGCAAAGATGCCTACTTCCTAGGATTGTTGGGAAGATAAATAAGAAAACAGATGGGAAAATGCAATGTTAAACTGTAAAGCACTTTATAGCTAAGATTTGGGTAGGACGCTGAGGGAGAATATTACCATGAAAGGAGTAAAGTCTTCCACATCTGAGATGAGATGGCACACACGTGCACAAGGGTTCCTCCCTACCCCCATCTATTCACATGTCAAATCCCACAGCAGCAGATTCTCACAACGTCCTGCCCTTCTTCCTGGGTTTGTTTTGTTCCAGCTACAGCCTCCCTGTATTGACTAGTCTGCTCTGTGAGCCTGCAGAAGCTGGGCTTGAGCCGGCAGATTGCGGGGTGGGCAGGAAGCTGGGGCCTGGGGCCTGGGGCCTGGAGCTCCGGTCTGGCTTTGTCACCAATTGGCTGTCTTCTCCCTTCTCTGGGCCCCAGGGTCTCTTCTGTGTGAGGAGCGTGTGAGGAGCCTACACCACTGACCAGTAAGGCTGGGTTCAAGTCCTGGCAGTGTCAGTGTAGGCCATTTACTTAGTCCCCCTGTGCCTTCTCTGTAAACTAGGGACATTCCTTCCATCACAACCTCACTCATCTTGTAAACGTTCAAGAGTAGATGTTAGTGAGTCCTCAGACCCGTAACTCGGCCCAGCATATGGTGAACACTATAGGGCACGTGTCTGCTGTTATTACTACCATGATTACCAGTTCCACTATAAGCTAACAGGTTAAAAGAAGGATCCCACGAAGTGAGAGAGCGGCATGGACATATATACACTACCAAATGTAAAATAGCTAGCTAGTGGGAAGCAGCCGCACAGCACAGGGAGATCAGCTTGGTACTTTGTGACCACCTGGAGGGGTGGGATAGGGAAGGTGGGAGGGAGGGAGACGCAAGAGGGAAGAGATATGGGAATATATGTATATGTATAACTGATTCACTTTGTTATACAGCAGAAACTAACACACCATTGTAAAGCAATTATACTCCAATAAAGACGTTAAAAAAAAAAAAAGAAGGATCCCAAACCCGGTAGATGAAATGGGACATGACACCCACAAAGCCTCCCCTCTCTGGCCCTTTCATGCCCTGGCCCCAGTGCTTGAGGTTTGGGCAGGTGATGGTGGGGGAGGTGGGGACAGGGCAGCTCCTGTGGAGGAGGGAGTGGAGGGGCGTCAGGTATGGGGAAGAGCGAGGGTAAATGGAAGGAGGCTTGGGGTGACCAGCGGGAGAGAGGAGGGGCAGCACTGTGTGGGCCACCTCCCTTCTCCTCGTGGTGCCTGCCCAGATTAGGACTCAGAAGTGGGCACTAGACCCCCTGGCCAGACACCAGGGCCTTTGATATTAAAGAACCATCGTGAGAATGGTGATGGTTCTATTGACCCTACCGAGCGTGGACTCTGAGCCTGACACTGTGCCTGAGCACGGGGGCTCCTAGATCAGCCAGGCCCGGTCCCTGTCCCCTACTGCTGGGCAGGCGGTCGAGCAGTGTATGGCCTGTGAGCACTGGGGACGAGGGAACAGAGGGGACTTGACTTGGCTCAGATGGAAGAGGGGGCACCTGGGTTGGGTTTGAAGGACCAGTAGAAAGCGGAGTAGGGAGCACCACTCTGTCCAATTCAAGTGTACAGGGCCAGGTGGGAGTTGGGGAGAGATGAGGCTGGAGAGGAACCAGCTGACAAAGGGTCCAATAAACCATGCTCATAAGGCTGGACCTCAACCCAAGGATTACAGGGTAACAGTGACAGTATTTAAAGAGGAGAATGACATGATTAGTTTTCTGTTTTGCGTGATTTTGGTGACAATGGTAGAAGATGGACAGAAGGAGAGAATGTGGGACTCAGGAGGCTAGTTAGATTACTGTCATGATCCACATAAGACGTGTCAGGTCAGAGGGCTGCCCTAGCCCTGCACAACTCCAGGGGGCACTATGTCAACGCAGTCCATGTAAATCGCACCCCTGGAATTGTGCAACATGCAAGTCCGACCCCCCAAAATCACTGGGCAACATGGAAGCCCTCACCCCATAAAAGTAATTTGGCAGTGAAGTTGGAGAGGGGGAGCTAGATTTGAGGGATATTCATTCATTCATTCATATAGGTGCAGCTCCCCTGTATCTTGTCCTCAATGCTGCCTGCTGGGTCACCCTGTACTGGAACTGTCCATGGATCTCTCTCTCACTAGACTGCGAGCTCCCTGTGCACAGAGTCTGTGTCTCATTCATGTCTGAATTCTCAGGCCCTGGGCATGGTGTAGAATGAATGAGAAAGCAAACCTTTGGGTGTCCCGGATCTGAGAGGGGGCTTTGCCATACACCCTAGCCTGGTCTCTGAAGGCACAGGGTCAATTCTTGTCGGCCACAGAGAAGGTCTCTGTTGGGCTCGGGGACCTGGAGGCTCAGGGCATGGCTGGAGGCTGGAGTCTTCTCAGGAATCCAGTGGGGACCAGATGGAGTGATGGCCCGGCTCCCATATTCCCCCAGTGGCTATTCTGAGTGGCCAGCAAAGCCCTAGATTGTGGGGTACCCGAACCCCTCCCTCCAGGTTGGGCTGGGTGGGTGGAGGGCGGCAAGAGGAGGGAAGAGGTGAGCAGCCCTGAATATTGCATCCTGGCCTTAAATGGTGCTTTGTTTAACCGGAACTACCTAGACACTGTGTAACCATAGCAACCACAAGTCGATATTTTAAAAGTTAAAAATAAGTCATGACATCTTACATGTTGTTGGAGTTGCTAATGGCAAAACTGCTTTTTTAAAGCCTCGTTACTCCATAAACTGAGTGGAGTAGGTTTGTGGATTTGCTTTCAATATATCACCCTCTATACTAGCCCTGGGGCCTGGGGCCAGAACTTGGCAGGGGTGACAGGCAGATAGGGGCTTGATGAAAGTTACCTGAAAATGACACTCCGGGGCTAAAAGAGGAATATCAGGTCGCCTGGTCTAACTGCCTTCAAAGGGGGAAAATCCCTATCAGACCTTCCAGGGGACTGCTCATGCAGTCTAGCTTGAATACCCTGACTGATGGGGAGCTTACTACCGGACAGGCAGCTCATTCCCTTATGGGGTGGCTCTGCCTGTTAGAGGACTCACAGTCTGGCCAAACTGAACTCAAGGTAGACAAAAGAGCCCAATTCTGGGGTCACAGGCCCAGTTCGAAACTCAGTTCTGTATGTCTTAGCTGTGTGACACTGGATGAGCCACTTATCCTCTCTGAGCCTTAATGTCCTCTCTTTAAAATCTGCCCATTCTGAAGAGACCAAGGATGTGATAAGACTTTTCAGCCACCACGAACTGTCTAGGAGCTGCTGTTATTGTTCCTCTTTCTCTCTGGGCTTCCACAGGGCAAGGGTCTGGAAAGTGCTGTGTGAAGGAACAAGGAGCCCTCTACCCTCTAAAGGGGGTGTTTCCCTTCACTGGGTACCTGCACCCTCCGTCCCCGCTCCTTGTGACTGTGGAGGCCCACTCTGGGGTTAAGGCCTTCCTCAGGGTGAAGTGGCACCCAGGTGAGGGGGAGCCTTCCCCCACCCCCTGGGGCAGTGAGTACTCACTGGGAAGGATGGTTTTGTACCGGTTCTTCCGCACCAGCCCAGGGATGTTATACTCTTTCGGATCCACAAAGTTCATGGGAATTTCCTGCAGGAGGAGGACATGGGGGTGTGAGGAGAGGTGGGTTGACCTAAGTGCATGCATTCATTCAACAAACACTGACTATTAAATGAGTTAGTGCACATAAAAAGTATCTAGAACAGACCTGGCACATGCTGAGTGCATAATAAATGTTATTATCACCATTGTTTATTGGGGGCCAGCCTGGCACATAGTAGACACTCAAAGAAGAACAGAAGAAGAAGTGACCTGGCAAATCACTGCCTTTTTCTGCACCCTGTGCTGTGGCCACACTGAGTGGTTTTACTGACCTGTGTTCCTACCCTGGGTGTCTCTACCTCAGGACCCTGGATAGTGCTGCTGACTCTGTAGTAACATCCACCCCATCCTCATCTTCTCATGTCCTCCTGTCCATCATAAAGCCACCTCCTCCAAGAAGCCTTCCCTGATTCTCCAGCAGGAAAGGAGCCTCCTTCTGGGCCTCCCAGAGTTGTATTTGCATCTCCCAATCACTCTCTATGTCAAGAGTTCCAAGTTGGAACTTCTCTGCCTGGAATGTGAGGTCTTTTCCGATCTGGCCTTTCTTCACCACCAGCTGCTCTGAAGAGACCCACCCTCCAGTTGTGCCCATCTCTTCCTGTGGCTAATTTGTCAGTATCCAGCTAGCCTCCAGGTCTGAGCTCACGGCACCCAGCTTGTGGGGAGCACCGGTCCCACCCCTCTTCATCACCCCAAATCCTTCCCAGCCTTTAAGGTTCACCTCTTCCCCCCGACCTATGTTCTCTGGGATGACTCCTCAGTGTCTGTCTTCTCTTCACGCCCCTTCCCTCTGTCCACACGCTTTAGCACCTGACTTCACATGGTTTACAGTGTTCACTGTTTGTGGACACACTAAGTATGTGCTTTGTACGATGAGGATCATAATACTTACCTTCTAGGGTGGTTGTGAGAATCAAAATAAAAAGCACGTGCAGAAGCGCCCATGGAGTGGATGTGTGGGCACCCCCTCTTTCTTACTCTCTGAGCAAAACTGACAATGATCTACTGAACTGGAGATGACAAGGGGATGCAAGCCCTTTCCTCAAGGGGAGGTGTGGCTGTGGGAATGGCAGCTGAGGCTGAGTGGTCGAGGAAGGCTTCCTAGGGGACTCCAGGGTGGGGGATGATGACAGGGAAGGCACCGCGGCGGGGGCGTGGTGCGGGCCCAATTTGAAGTGGACAGTCCCTGCAGGGATGGGGATATAAGTCCGGAAAAGGAGTCTGGGGCTCGCTGAACTCAGGTAAGGCAGGCTGTGCCACATTCTAGAGAATCTGGAGCAACGGGTCAGAGGGTGATGGAGGGCTTCTCAGAGGGGAAAGACATCGGGTCCAGGTAGGGAGCAGGGAGGCCTGGGGCGAGGGGAGCTGTGAGGGAGGCACACGGGTTCTCCATCCCTCTGGCTTCTCCCAAGAGGGACTCTCCCCAAATGCTCATGGCCTCTTGCCCGTTCCTACCCACAGAGGTGGGCGAGTTACCCAATGAGTGTGTTTGATTGAGGAACCGGGCTTTTGGACCCCAGCCCCTTCCTTCCTCCTTTCCCAGCCCTCCTGCCAAGAAAGAATTATAGGGCTCCCCTATGAGGTGAGGCCGGCGATGTACCAGCACTGCCCCGGGGTGGGTGGAAAGTTTGTTCACTCTGGTGGTTGGTATTAGGAAGTTCCCTACTGCTACATACCTAATCCTCATGCTAAACCTAGCCTTTATCAGCAAAAATAAAGGTGGTTTTGTGATTTTCCATGTCTTGGCTCCTAACTGGTTGAGTGCTCAGGCAGGTAAAACAGGGGTGTCATTTATGGGCCCCTCAAAGTCCAACAGGAGGCAGCTGGAGGCTGCTGCCTAAGTCTAGAGGGGAGGCGATCAGGACCCCCCCTAAGCCTGAATCACAGAACTGGACAGATTTCAAAGGAGGACGAACGATGTTAGGTGATGTCGGGCAGGGGGAGGGTGGGAAAACGGGAGAGTCAGAAGAGAAGGCTTTCAGGAATTCCCTGGCAGTCCAGTGGTTAGGAGTCAGTGCTTTCACTGCTGGGGCCCAGGTTCAATACCTGGTGCCTCGCGGCGTGGCCAAAGAAGAAAAAAAGAAGAGAAAGCTTTCTAAGTCTTTCTCAGGCTTTCAGAGCACAGTCCTGGATGATAAAGACTTGGGAATGCCACAAACACCAATCACCCCATGGGCGCTTTGCACACGTTCTGCATCTCTTGAATCCTTGCAATACCTCTGTTATTTTTACTCCCATTTTCCAGATGAGAAACTGAGGCCCAGAGAGAAAACAAGACAGTAGGAGAGGTGAGAATGAAATGATGTTCATCTATCAGATGCTGAGTTTGGGGTACCCCGCTCCAAAGCCTTGCTGGGGGGATGAACATGTGCAGAACGGGCTGCCCCCTGCAGGGGAGCCGGCTCAAGGGGACTCACAAAGAATTCTGCCTGAAGCAGGAAGGGGTCCAGGGCCTTCTCGTGAAGCTCTTCGGCCTGGAGGACACGGGAGGCGCTGAGCAGGTACTCGCGGGCCGACTCCTCGCGTGGGGACATGAGATAGCCGAACCCCTCCTCATTGCAGCCCGGGGTGCACATGTCCAGGGTCAGGGAGACGTTGGAGCCCCTCCTGGAAGGACCGGGTAAGGATGGGTGAGTATCAGGGTCAGGGACGGCCATCAGCTGGGGGCCTTGGAGCAGGAGGATGAGGGAGGGAGAGATGGGGGTGGGAACCAGGTGGGCTCCAGAGACAGGAGTGGGTGTGACATCTCCCCTGACACAGGGAGCGTGCGGCTCAGCCCCGAGGCTTAGGCTGCCTGTGGTGGAGTAGCCGAGTGTGGCCTCAGCCCGGTTCCCAAGGTTCAATGCAAGGGCCCTGAGCACTCTCCTCTGCCACTGCTGGAGGTAGTTCCCAGCCCTGTGGCCCCAGGAAGCTCACAGAGAGGGTGCCTGCCTGGAGCAGAGAAGCAGGGCTCGACCTTCTATATACCAGCCCCGGACCGGCAGTCTGCAAGGACGCAGAATCCAGAAGAGGCCTGGGAAAGATGGGGTCTCAGGGGCAGCACAGCGGCAGCGAGGATGAGCAGACGCAACAAACCCTACTGTGTTCAGGGCACAGCACGGGAAAGCCCTCGTTACACGGAAAGGGGATCTGAGTGCTACAGCGGGGACGAGAATGGCCCAAGCACACAGTGAGGGGGTGGCAGAGGTGAAACAAAAAGCTAGGTTTTCCGAGTCCTCGTCCAGTGCTCTTTCCATGACATCATGTGGGCATCTCAACCTTGGTGTGATCTGGCTTACCCAGCCAGGCCCCCAAAAGAGAGTGCTGACACCTCCCAACGTGTGCTCTGTGGAACACTATGAGACACTATAAAAGAGAGCTAGTGGGAACCTGTATAGCACAGGGAGCTCAGCTCAGTGCTCTGTGAGGACCAGGATGGGTGGGATGGGGGTGGGGGTGGGAGGGAGGTCCAAGAGGGAGGGGATAGATGTACACATATAGCTGATTCACTTCACTGTACAGCAGAAACTAACATAACATTGTAAAGCAACTATACTTCAATAAAAAATTTTAAAAAATTGAGTTCAAACCAAAAAAAAAAAAAAAGTAGAGTTCTGTGGTCAGATGGCTTTGAGGAATGCCACACACTCCCCTTAGTCAGTCTACAATGACTACAAGCACGTTAAAGGTCCTGACAAGTCCTGCAGTAAAGAAACCTATCCAAACCACAAGTGTATGTGCGAGCATGCACGTATGTACACTTGTGTATGCCCATGTGTTTGTGTGTAGTAACAGCATTTCTTAGCATTCACCTTGGGGCATCCTGATCTATGTGAATCAGACCTGAAGAGGATGTGTCTCCACCGGTGGGCTTATGAGCTCAGCTCTTCCCTGGGCACTGGGAGGCAGAGTCAGGCATCTGCCCTTCCGATCGGGAGCTGAGAGCTCCAGGGCCCACAGAGCCCACCTCTCCACTGAACCCACCTCTCCTGCAGACCCATGGCCTTGACAGTCAGTGAGGCAGGGTCGGCCTCAAGCTTGATGTCCATCACGCAGTCAAACACAGGTGTCTCAGGGACAGGGTCCAGGTCCAGGAAGTCATCCTCGACCTTCTCCTCCATCCACTCAGAGTAGGTGAAAGAGGGCTGACGGCTCACCGACTGGCGCCTGTCCTCGGGGGGCAGCGGGCTGGGTGGCTCTGCGGGAGTTCTCAGGAGGTGCCACACCTAGTTCGGGGCATATGGCATCATGGCAGCCCCCCTGGGTGAGGGGGTGCCCATGGAGTTGAGGCCCCTGCTCTTCCATGTGTCTGGAGCAGCCCTACCCTCCTGGGAGCTGTCTGCATTGCACCACCCCTCACCTAGATGAGAGGCTCCACCCCTGTCATGTCCTCCCAGCCCCCTCCACCTCCAACCCTCAGGTTCTTGTGGATTGAAGCCTTCTTCGTGGGGTGGGGGTAGGGTTCCTTCTCCAGTCTTCTCCCTGCCTCAGCCCCTTTCCCCAGCCAAGAACGCTGCAAACCAATTTTGAGAAAGACGGCACCTCTCCCCCCAGGCTGGGCGCATTGGTGGAAGGAGACGGGTACCCCATCCTCAGCCCTACCCAGAAGGTGTAGTCTGTAGGTCAAATGGGAGAAGGTGGGGATCGGGCCTCAGGGTCACGGAAGAAGAGCACGGAGGCTGGTTCAGGAGGAGTCTTACCAAGGTGGTGATGAGGACCACGGACAGAGAGACCAGCAGCAGATTAGGGACGTCCCAGGTCCCAACAGCCAGCCAGGCCTAGAGAACATCAGACAAACAGGTCAGGGTGATGGGGGGGGGTGGGCAGAGTTCTCATGTTTCAACAGGGATAAAATCAAGGCTCTGAAAACTTTGGAGCCGGTCTGGGTGGGGGACAGGGGGAAACACTTCAGGAGCCAGTAAATATCTCCTGAACTCAAAGAAGCCCTAGGCAGGGGTTGGTGGGACTGGAGGCCCCTGAGCATTCCCTCCTACCCTGGGGCTCCCTGGAGCGTACTCACCGAGGGTCCCAGCTGCTCCAGGAGCGTGAGCACGGAGGAGATGAGGTCTGTGGCATTTTGCGACCAGATGGGGCCGTAGTCGCTGAGCCAGAGCATCCCGCAGGCGAGCTGGGGCGGCCGGGGGCAGCACACTGAGCCCGGAGCCTGGGCTCCTTGCTCCCATATACCCCCATCTCCCCACCCTCGAGAGCTCCCCTTCAGCCTCAACCTGGCCCCCCAAGGCCCAGACTGCGCAGCTGGGGCAAGGGCCTGGGACCTCTCCCTAGAGAAGAGCTGACTCAAGGGAGCCAAGAGAAAGCCCTTCCCAGAGGGGACCCTCCCACCCCACCAGGTACACATAACAAGGAGAGTCTCCCGGAGATGCCTCCAGAGACAGGAAGTCCTCAGAAGAACCCCTGCGGGGCCAGGGGGTTGGGAGTGGGCCTGTGTTCCTACTTCTGAGGTCAGGGTGTGAGGGGTTTATGGCTCAGAACTCCAGCCTTCTCCTCACACCAGCCCGAGGGCTGGAGTCACGAGGGACGCCATGGAGGCCCCTCATCCTTCTGTGTCCCCAGGCGGCCATCTCGGGGAGGAAGGGGAGGCCGTCCCTCAACCCGCCCTCCCTCCAGGCCCCGCAAGGCCTGTGATGTCCTTACCAGGAACTGGGAGGCAGCCAGCAGGCACAGGCTGCTCCTGACAGCAAGGGAGGGGCCCCTGGCGTCTCGAGGTGGTGGCTTCTGAGCTGTCTCTGAAGGCGGTGAAGGAGGCGGGGGCAGTGGCACCTCTCTCTGCAAGGCCGTGGGCCCCTCGGCCTGGTCCAGCGCCTGCATCCCTACCGGCTGGGGGACACCTGCGGAAGGCGGACACACGGCCGGTGATCCGGGCCCTGCCGACCCCGGCGGACCGCTCCTTCTGGGGCTGCCGTGGCTTCCTCTCAATCTGGGATCAGTCAGCCTGGCTCCACTTCCAGCAGTCACCCTCGATTAGCAAAGCAATACTCACCTACCTTCGTCAGAAAGAGCTAAGTGTGGGTGGACAAATTATTTCTCTTTGATTTCTCCAGTAACAGAGTTAAAATGGCAGGAGGTTTTTCAGGGAGTTAACATCGTGGTGTTTACACAGCTTCATTCTTTTCCCATTCCTTAAGGAAACGAAAAACCACCACCTCAAACTCAATTACAAGAGAGGGAAAAAAAGGTATGGCATGACCAGGCCGTGACCCTGAACAGCCCACCCATGCCTGTCCTCTGGGTTTTCGTCTCTCATGCTCTGCGCCCCGACTCAGTATGTGTGCCGGGGGGGAGACGCTGGACACTTGACAAGGTCACAGCCCCGTGCCCCTTCCCCACCTCAAGACCCCACACTGAGGGGGGATGGGGGTGGTCAGGATGGTGTGGAGGAAAATCTCGGTGCAGCAGAATTGATGTCAAACGTCTAAGATCCAGTTCTGGGTCTATCCCTGGTTGTGTGACCTTGGGAAAGTCACCCCCTCCTTTCTGGACCTCAATTTCCACACCTCGAAAATGGGGCTTGGGGGTCCTCCCTTGGTTTTCTTTTTTAAAGTTGTTGTTGTTTTTGATGTGGACCATTTTAAAAATCTTTATTGAATTTTTTACAATATTGCTTCTGTTTTACGTTTTGGTTTTTTGGGCACAAGGCATGTGGGATCTTGCTTCCCGACTAGGGATCGAACCCGCGGCCCCTGCATTGGAAGGCGAAGTCTTAACCACTGGACCGCCAGGGAAGTCCTCTGGTTTTCTAACTGTGCTTTAAGGAGCCCTGGTGTTTTCTCAGGTGCACCAGCTATGACCAAGTGCTCTGGGTCCCTGTGCCTGGGCCTCGGCCGTGGGAGCTGTTCAATACCGTTCCATATACTGGGTTTCCTCTAAGATGATTTCAACACAAGGTTCCACGACTAAACAAGTCTGAACAGCACTGGCTTGGATCTGATGCCCTGGTGGAGTGTGGAGATTCCAGCAGCACCACCGCAGTGAGCCCCAGAGGTTGGAGTTCCCCATTTAAACCCACACCGTCCAATCTATTGCCAAGAAGAGAGGCACCAGCAAGACGGACGTGTACGGCTTGATGGTGGGGATGGGACGGTCCACATATCACTGTGTATATATATGGGACAATGGACTCCTTTTCTGGTTGGGAGACAACGGAACACCCACAGCCAAGACCACGCAAGGCCAACATAGTTGTCTACATGCTCGCTTGGTTACGTGACAGGTATTTGCTGAGCATCTCGCATGGCCTGGATCAACAATGCGGTGATCCTGGGGATACCTGTATTTCTCTCCCAGGCTCCTCCTTCCCAGACCTGACCCTGTATAGCTCCCTACCTGCTGTGGTCCAGCCACACTCTTTGGCAGTTCCTCGGGTAAGCCCACACCCCATGTTTTGCATATCCTGCCCCCTCTGCCAGGAATATTCCCCCAACATCCTGCTCCCCTCAACTGTCCCCAAAACACTTTGCCAAGTTGACTCCTAATCATCTTGTAGAACTCAATCAGCTGCCTCCTAAAGTAGGGGCTCCCCTACCACACACACTCAGCAACCCATGTCTCTCCTTCATACGACCAGCAGCAACAATACACCTGGCGAACACACAGCCCTGCTTTGAGTGCTCTGCACGTTCATCTATTCACTCTTCGTGGTACCCTATGAAGTTGGCACTACTATTATCCTCATTTTACAGAAGAGAAAGATGAGGTGCAGAGACGGTAATAAGTGGTTGAGGTGGGTTTGAAGTGAGGCACTTGGACAGGCTCTGAGCTACAGTACACTCACTCCAGTCTGTCAAAATTATTTGTTGAATATAATCTCCCCCAGTCTCTGTAAGTTCCACGAGGGCAAGAGCAGTATTGGTTTTGCTTATCCTGACTGTCCACAACATGTAGCGCTAGTCCTGGCATGTAAGTCTACAATCAATATTTCCTAAATGAGTGAATGATGACGGGTAAGTGATAAACAAGGATAATAATACATTCTTTGAAAAGCTGCGATGAAGACGGTAGATCCTATAGATGAAACATCCAACTTGGCACCTGGCATCTAGTAGTTGCTCAAGAAACATCAGGTTATAATAATGACAACACGTAACTCCTGCCTTCAGAAGGCTCAAGTCAGCTGGGTAAAACAGACCAGTGGATGAGTGTTTACAATACAGTGCATTACGTGAAAAATCTAAGTGCTCGTAGAGCCTAAGGGCCTCTACCTTTGCCCAGGGAGGCTATAGTTACTAACCACAAGAGCAGATATCTCAGATCCAGCCGCTGCTAAGAGATGGATCACGTAGGAAGCCAAGAGTTTCCACTATTGATAAGCAGAGGGTTGATTACCCGAGTGGCAAGTTCTCCACCCACACCTTCAGAAAAAGCAGTCGATGTGTGACGGCAAATACGGACAGGTAGGAGGGGTACAGCTCAGGGGCCACCTGGCTTGGCTCGTAACACACACTGTGGACTTTGGGCAATCCTTTCTCCCCCCTGGGTCTCAGTTTCCTTATCTGTACGAAGAGGGAGAACACAGTGCTTCTTAGATGCTTCTCCCATCCTTAGAGCAGAGGGGACATGGGTCTTTGGGGAAAAAACAGCAAGTCACATGATCCTGGACTTTGCTGCTTTGTTTGAAAATTCATGGGTGTTCTTTATTCTATTCTATGGCATATCTGTGCTTGTTTTGATCTTAAAATAATGTTTTCTTTTTTCCTCCCAAAGCTTGGAATCAAATTTATGCTTCAGGAAAATGTTCTACATTTATCCTGTGGCTTTGCCCTCAGGGGTACATGCACCCCAGTCTGAGAAGCCTGGAACCTGCCTGCAATAAAACGTCATCATGCTGCCGTTAGTAATGACTCTGTAGATAAATATTTAATAATGGGGAAAGAAATTTCGATGGTGTGGAGTGAGAAAGGCAAGGTTACAAAACAGTCTGCTCTCCTTGGCCTTAAAAATTAAGAAAGTATATAAAAAGGTGGAGAATCCCCGATGAAAGACGAGAGGCTAACTCAAGTGGTGCTTGGAAAGCGTGCAGCACACCGGACGCCGGGCACACAGGAAGTGTTTAATGAACATCATACACGGTAAATGGGAAGAACAGAAGACAGGTAGTAGTAACAATAGTTCTTTGGAGGAGGGTGAGAGTAGAGTGATTTTTTTCATTGTTTACATATTCTTTATTTTTATTTTTGGCTGTGTTAGGTCTTCATTGCTGTGCACAGGCTTTCTCTAGTTGAGGCGAGTGGGGCTACTCTTTGTTGCCATGCACGGGCTTCTCATTGCAGTGGCTTCTCTTGTTGAGAAGCACGGGCTCTAGGCACGTGGGCTTCAGTAGTTGTGGTGCGCAGGCTCAGTAGTTGTGGCTCGCAGGCTCTAGCGCGCAGGTGCAGTAGTTGTGGCGCACAGGCTTAGTTGCTCCACGGCATGTGGGATCTTCCCGGACCAGGGATCGAACCTATGTCCCCTGCATTGGCAGGCGGATTCTTAACCACTGCACCACCAGAGAAGTCCCTGTTTATATATTCTAAATTTCCTCCAATAAGTAAATGGGCACATACGTATAGAGATAAATATATATGTATATACATATACATATATTTATTTGTAGTGAGGAAAAATATTTTTAAAAAGAGGGCACTGTTCTGAGTTCAGATATTATGAGGCCTGCTTAATATTCCCAGGTTCAGGACCCCAACTTTCACCTGTCACACCTAAATGGCATGTGGGGGGACTGGGAGAGATTGAGAGTGAGTGCAAGTCTCTGTGAGACCCACCTAGCCAGAGAGCAGCCACTCAGAAGACAGGCCCCCTGACATCACTTTTGCATATGAAAGATGGCAGGTTAACAGCCTGGCACCTTAAGGGGGCAGAAGAAAACCTGCAGGCTGGCAGGGCCCTGTATGCACCTCTCAGAGACAAGGGTGGAAGCTGTTTTTTTGTTTTTAAACCCACAGGGTATCTGGCAGCCCTGGAGGCTGGATGAGTCCAACTGAGTGCCTGGTAGGTGCCTACCTTTCAGAGCAGGGTTTATTTAAAAGCTCTTCTGGGCAGAAATCTAACATTTCTTTACTCAGGAGGATACTTCTTCTCACACACACTATATTCTGCCTGTAATTCTGGAGGGGATCCACGGACCTCAGGTTAAGAACCCGTGATCTCAGGGATGGGGAGCGGAGGTCTGTGATCAGGTGGTAGAAGTGGGGAGGTAGAGAACTGGGCTGATTTTAGTCTCTGCTCATTCATGTGTGAGTCCGACACATTTATTGAGCACCGATTATATATCAATACTTTGCCAAGCACCAGGCTAGGCTCTGTGGATACAGCAGTGAACAACACAGTGCCCGCCCTCATGGACCACAGAGGTCCTGGGCTCCTTTGTCCTTTGTCTTCCAGGTCCTGCTCCTAGAGATCACGCCAGCCCTTCTCCTCACCCTGCCCACCCTTCCACTCACTGTCTTGCTCCGGAATGAGAATGCCAGATCTCTTGGGTAGGCTCTGTGCAGCTCCCAAAGCGCTTGTGCGCACGCAGCTCCTTTTGCTTCTCTGTGAGGTAGACATTGGCATCATCAGCCCTGTTTTGCTGGTGAGAGGCGGCTGCTTGTGTCAAGGACTGGCTTTTCAATAGTTCACAGCAAGGTAGCTGCTTTGCCATGCACGAAGCCCTGACTCAGAGCCACCTTGCTGACAGTGACAGAACACTGGGCTCCTCTCGGGCCTGCTTCCTGCATGGGGTGAAAGGGATTTTCCAGGCACGGAAATCGGACTGAGCGAGGTTCAGTGGCTTGCCCAAGTACGTGCAGATCCGAGATGCAAACCCAGGCCTTCCTGACGCCAAGTGGTCTTTCCG